GACAAGAGAAAAAAAAAGAAAGACAATTAGCTGCATAAGGTTAATGAAAGTATTTTCTGGAAACTACTCGACTGCTTCCTTCTAAGTCATTACAGTACCAAGTCATTGGTGTCCTAAAAGCTTACAAGAGTTCATGCTGCAGGTACAGTAGCTAAAACAACTGTATCTATGCAGGTGAGGGTCGATATGCTCCAAAATTTTAGATGCGACTAGTGACAGCCTTCATATACCAATACAATATTTATCGTCCATGGTCTCATATTGTTTCCCACAAAGTATGCACAGATAGTTGTTTTAGCTTCTTTACATATGTGTGAAATATATTATTAATATTTAAGTAAACAGTTTAGATTGAACATATATTTGTAAGTCTTTATGACAATACCCTGTATTACTAATAGCTCATGAAACATCTCTTATAGCAGTATAGGTGCAGCGAGGTGAGGTAAACACTGTTGATCAAAGGGCACGAGATAAATAATTCTACTGTACATTATGCAACATGCAAGGCAACACTTTGGGAATATAAACTACAATTACAGTAGGAGTTACTGTACAGTACATAAATTACATATGTGTAATCTAACAGGTACTGGGTGAAGAGTGAGACTTTGCAATGTAAATATTTAGAAACAAATACCCCTTCATACTGTACTAAGAAAGTGTACGTATCTTAATATGAAATGTATTCAACATATACAGTATTGTTTACTATATACAGGGTACAGTATATAAATAATTTTTATATAAAATATCAACTGAAGCATAAAAAGGCATTGGTCATAACAGTAATTTTCATCTTTAAAGCAAAAGACTAGTATTTGAAAGACATATTTAAATTTTACCAAAAAGTGCTAAATGGCAATTAAGCAAAATTCACAAGAAAAAAGTGCAAAGTCCTCTATTATGACATTTAGAGCACAATATTTTTTTCAATACTGTGTAAGGTAAGTTTTACCTGTACAGTACTTTAAACACTTACACAAATTATAACTTATATACAGTATTGTATTCGTAATTACACCCAAATATTTTAAATCACAATAAAACACCGTATAGCTTTGCATTTACCTAATGAAAGATGAATAGATTAGAAATGTTATAAACCTGTAGGGTGGCATATGGTACTTATATACACTGTACAATACTGTACCAGTTTGTGCAATCATTACCTAAAAGCCACAAAATTCCACTGGTATGGTTTTAACAGGCAAATTCATATATTTATGATTATATATTGTAGGTGTTAACTTCACAAAATATTTTTTCTTCAACCAGATCTTGTTAGGTTACAGCAGACATTATCTCCCCAAGAATCTAAATTTAATACTATATAATGTCTTTTTCATTGGGACAGAACATAACTGACATAAACACTCCTCAGCACACCCGTCCAAGACATCACTTTCAAAAGCTATACGATATAACAGAATAAACAACAATCCATTTATGATAATCAGTTACAAGTCTTCAGTACATATTTCATGAACTGCTGTTGTTTGACGCTACAAACTCACAAAGAGAACACAGTCTTGATCTGACAATGAGTACAGAGACAAAGGCCTTTGGATCAGAGAAAATCTGAGTGTACTACCTTCACAAAAATGAAGGTAAGAAACTCATGAGAAACACTGATAAAAGGCTGTAACTGTATACAGCATAAGTAATTATCTGAATTCACTGCAAAGTGCTCTTACAGATATAGATATATATATATATATATATATATATATATATATATATATATATATATATATATATATATATATATATATATATATATATATATATATATATATATATATATATATATATATATATATAACATTTAAATACACTGTATAACACCTACTATACTGCCCATAATACTGATATTAGGGATGAAACTGCAAGAAAACGAAGGACATCAACTTTTTAATTTGACTCCCATCACGAGTGACAGGAACCTTCTCACCATCATGCATTAAAGGCTTTTGTTTTAAAATAACAATTTACAAGTCTGTTGGAAGCCAAGAAGAAAAAAATATATTACCCTGTACTGTATACTGTTACTCAGATTAACTTTAACCTTCAACATAATGAGTAAGAAAATATACCAAGTTCTAATTGATGCAACATACTACTTCCTTCTCTTTCCTTTATGTATACTTTATACTGTATATATGTTGTACACTGCATTTACATTGAAACATTCTCATTGGAAATTTAATGTAGAGTCCAGTATAAAGAACTTTCTCCACATTGTAATCCTGCCATTGAGTACCGGTAATCTTTTCAATAATTATATACACTGCACAGTTCCCTTATTTGTCTGCTACGTAGTATTAAAATTATCTATAAGACTGGAAATATCTGATACTGCCATGGTGTACTGATGTTATATAAGACAGTATAGTGTTTTTATGATAATTAAAGTTTTACAAGCATAATATGTATCAAAAGGTGCTGGAAAATGAATGGATTAATTTAGCTGTATTTAGATGGATTACTGTATAACCATAATACAGTAATAAAAATGGGACAAATGCAATTTATTTCTACTTGTTATTTTAGGATTAGATCCTTCTCAATGTCTATAAATAAACTTTATCCTTTGCTTAGTCTATTACTAAGTATGTGTGTGTGTGTAAGAAGCAAATCCTGGAGGTTCATTTGTGTCAAAGAACCATCAGTTCAACTACTAAGAAATTAAATACTGAATAACAGCTGCACTAATTATCATATTTCAATAACAACTCTAAATTTTGGTAAGTTTCACAATATTCTTTAATAAAAACCAGTATGAAGATGTATCACGTGGTTCATCTGCAAGAATGACTGTGGACGGCACTTGTCTATTTTTAACTGATACAGTAGCCACTTTTGCAAAATATAATCCACAAAATTAAAGTTGGAAAATATTAATAACCTCCATACTTGAAAGTGATAACTGCAGGTAAATAAGAGAACTGCTTACCTCAGGAGTTGACTTTTAGAGATTTTCTGGATTTAGTTTTAGTTATGAATCAAATATGATGAATGTGATAACAATTGTTCTTCCATAAGAAAAATTTGTAATCTTAAATAATTGTACTATTTCTGGAGATCATCCTTGCATCTTTGACTAGATAATATTGCAGCAGAAACCAGAGAACAGTCCTGTACAGTATTACATATTTTATTTAGGATAGTTAGTTGATTTTATACTGCTCTAATTATGGCATAGACTGAAAACAATACAAAAATGTTTCATACCCTTTCATAATGTATGAATCACGTAGGTCCATACCACACACGGTATCAATGAAGTTTACTACAGAGTACAGTACAGTATATCTTTTGACACACTGTTCCAATGCTCATAAATCTTAATAATCTTTTCTTTATTACAGGTTGACAACCCTTTATCCGAAATTCCGAAAACCGAAAAGCTCTAAAAACCGAAAGTTTTTTGTGGGGCATTTTTTTTTTTTTTTACAGGGATTATTAGCCCAGCCAGGCACAGATCACTGACCCACATTGGGGCCTGGGGGGCAAAAATGTAATAGTAATAATAATTATAATAATAATAATTATTCATAGTAAATAAAATTTTTAATAATTATACACCAAAATAAAATAATGATTACAATAATACCGGTAATAATAATAATACTGTAATAATAATAATAATAATAATAAAATTAATAATAATAATAATAACAACAATAATACTGTAATAATAAAATAATAATACAGTAAAGAAATACAAGAATGAATAAAAGATCAAAAGTGAGAAACACGACCTAGACCTATGAATTATTATTATTATTATTATAATTTTAATTATATTTTAGACCCCCAGGCCCCAATGTGGGTCAGTGATCTATGCCCGGGTGGGCTAATACACACACACACACACACACACAAAAAAAAAAAAAAAAAACCTAACCATTCTGAAAACCGAAAAATTCCGAAAACCGAAATGCCTCTGGCCCCAAGGATTTCGGATAAAGGATTGTCAACCTGTATTAATACTGAATAACGACCTATTAACATAATAATACAACAAAAGTTATTCTAAATTAAACTGTATACAGTATACTGTACTCAACTACACAGTAATACAGTACAGTACGTATATTCAACCAGTTTCAAAACTTATACCTGTAGTGGGATATTCAACTGGAATGGTAGCAAGAATCTCAGCCTAACTTGAAAAAGTTCACACACACTGGAATACTCAGTACTTAGTGAGAACTTTATAACTCACCTTAGTGATGTGCTCTTTCTTCTAGGGGTGCTTTTGTAACTCTCCTATTGCAGTAATTGCTTGAAAATTTGGGATGACAGCCCAAACGAAGGATTTTCAGGATTGTGCAAAAAAATCTTAAAGAATATCTGATGGTTCTAATTCACTACTGGCTATTCTAAAACACATTTTATTAAAAAAAATAATAAAAATAAAAATAAAAATAAAATAAAAAAATGGAGCCATACGATCGCTACTATACGGCTATCTTGGGGCAATGATCAGCATCGTTCATTATTTTACATTCTGCTACCTCATTTAAATTTTATTCATTTGTAAGAGTACTATATTTTGATTTATATAACTTTGCTATTTATAGTTGCCCATCTTACTGAGCTTGATGTTTTAGCAGTTACTCAAGTATTTATTGTAGATGTGATGTGAGAGAACACATGTGTATTAAGGGGTATTAATGTCCACCTTTGACATAATTTTGATGCTCAGTAATTGCTCACTTACAGCACCGTACTTGTTTTGTATTCTAAAGGTGCAGCCACTCTTTCCTCAGTTACGAGGCCAGCTAGAGACCCATATAACCAAGCCTAATCATTAGAAATAGGTGGGAAAAGTCGAAACGCAACAGTTGTGGGAATCGTCCTAATAGGATTACCAGTTGGAAAGTTCAGGATTGGACGCATCATGAAGCTATGTCAGCACCTAACCATTACATAATGTTTGTTTTAATTTTCCTAGGATGATGGTGTTTAATACACAATGAATACATCGTAGCTCAGATTTAAAATTTACTCTCCATGACGGTAATGTTCATATATACTGTACATACACGCGCCTTTATAATAACATATCATTAAGTACTGCAATGTCCTTCACTTTCTCAGACCTATGACAATGAATAACAAAAGCATCATGAGTGGCTACAAATGGTAACAGGGCAACAAGAATGACAGGATGGTAACAAGCAAATATATGATTACATATAGCTGAAGACATACTGCATATACCTTAAGTAATATTAATAAGATATTCATGATTATTAAAACATCAAGTTGAATTGGAATGATGACTTAAGTGATATCAACTATCATGGTGGTATTTTTTCCTTTTTTCTCTTCCTATTTCAAGTCAATGTGTTTATAGAGCTATTGTAGGCTTCTCTCTTTTTCAGAAATAGGGGACAAAATAGGAACTTTTTACTAGAATCTTTACCTTCACAACTCTTCTAATAATAAATTCTCAACTAAAACTTTATATTGATATCTAAAAGCATATTTCTGATGCATTTTGAATCTCTTGCAAATACAAAATGAATTTGCATCAGATACAAATGTTTAATAGATTAAGATTATGTATGCATTAGATTTTTGTAAAATATAAAACATCCGGACAGATTACCGTTGAAAAATAGGTGTTCTCAAATGTGTATCCATCAAACTTCATCCTTATTCAAGTGAAACCTGCCCCACTGTGTTCTGTAATATGGGTGTTTAAGACAGAGAATGCATACACCTGTATAATGTTAGGATTAGCTGGTAATAATTTTCCTGAACAATTATATTCAAAACATGTCGTGGTCACCTAGTTTCCAAATCCTTTCATCCAGTTAAATTATACTGGTTCAAGAAGTAGCAATGCAAGTGGAATTTTTATAAAGGTGAACAGCTAACATGTGTACTAAAGTTCAAAAAGAATTATTTTCTGAGAATCTGAATGTACCTTAATTCTGTGGCAAAGGATTTTTCTCTACCAGTGGGGCAGCTTCTCCACCACTGTTAGGTGGGGGATTGTTCACTACAGAAACATTGGCATGAAGTTCTTGGTTCTGTGGGATGGGTTGACCGACCTGTCCTGACTGATATGGATTGTTGCTTGAGTACGGAGGAGGTTGTGAGGGGTAAATATTTTGTCCTGGTATATATTGTGCACCATCTATTACTCCTGTTACATAATTAGGGTTGAAACCTGTGTTATAGTCTGGGGCAAATCCTGGGTATGGTGGTGGGAGGTCATCTTTCCTTGGTGAAGGGATGGTCAGTGTCATACCCATCCTGGGGTGAGCCACTGCTACTACCCTCAAGTCTGCAGTATGAATTGTTGACTCTAGAAGCTGAAATGCCAAAGAATGATGAAAATTAATAATGCAAAAATTTTTGAGTACTGTACAATATATATATATATATATATATATATATATATATATATATATATATATATATATATATATATATATATATATATATATATATATATATATATATATATATATATATATATATATATATATAAACTTGCTAAAGGCATAAACTTATAAACACCATTAAAGTATATTACTGTATCTGCACTTTGTTTAATGAAATACAATTTTCTGGTTGAATATCTCAATACTACCAACTTAAAGTTAAATACTAAACCCACTCACTCGCCCACCCACCGACTCACTCACTCACATGGAGCCTCTTAGAAGCAGATAGGAAAACACAGAAGAAAAAGTTATCATGAGTGTGAAGATCACTGCACGATGGAGAAATATGTCTTTAAAATGGTGGCCTGGAGGTTAGTCTATAATAACTACCTTCTCAAGGAACTTCACATACGTACTGAGTCATTACAAAGAAAAACAGATAAACAAATAAGCTTACCTGTAAGTAGTAGGAGTTAACAACGAGGAAGAAGTATATAACTAGAATGACAATAGAGATGACATAGAAGATATTATCAAAATTGGCAAAATGACCAAATACAGCTATGATGAAAAATGTAATCTGTGCCAATTGCCACCACAGCCAAGGTGCCATCAACCTGGGATTACCCTGAAATGAAAAGATAAACATTCGTTGAAGTAAGGTTAAAAGTGTATATTCATATCTTTTTCTGATACAGCACAAAAAGTAATTTGTATGAAAACACAACAAACTGTCAAGGTTCAAAATGGGGGGACCGCAGAATGGAAATTTAAAATACTTAAACCTTTCTTAAAACTGTAGTTTATTTTATAAACTATACTTTTGGTTGCCAGGTACTTTCCTAGAAAAGTAGACTTAAATGCTTTGGAAAGATTTACTAAGAACCAACTTTTGAAACTTTGACACACTGTTTTACATTTTCAGTACTACACTACACTACATAAAAAATTATAAAGTTCATTTTATTCTTACCTTTTTGGCTCCAAGAATCATCAGAGCAGTCAGAATGAAGTAGACAAAAGACATAACCATCCTCAAGGACATGGCAAATCTGACTGAAAGTAATGAAAGGAAAATGAAAATATATAACACCATACCCTAAATTGTTTAGAACATGTATTTCATAACTAAAATTTGACTACTGTACTTGTTTGCACACCATAGCTACTTATTACTTTACACAATAGTACTGTACACAGACTCCCACCTATTCTGCAGGGTTAGAGTCTGACTGAGCCTACAGGTTGTAAATATCAGGAAATGTAAATATATGGCAACTGTGGGAGGTGAGGCATTACTTTCTGGGTGCCAAAGTATTACTGTATCCTTAGCTTCACTTAAATCCCAAAAATACAAGACACTCATTCTTTGCAAGGGTTAGGTTCTTGGAAAACCCCATGAATGTAGAAACCACCTTAGTTCAAAGGAAAAAGAGGGGTTAGGTTCTTGGCATGACTGAACAGAGGAAGAAATGATAAATATTTAAGAACAATGACTACAATAAGCACTGTACCTGTATATAAATAATAACAAATGTCTATAGAAAGTAATGTGGTTTCTACTCGTCTTTGATGATAATAATGATAACTTGAAGCATTCTGTATGATAGTGACAGTGCACAAAACTTATATTTCAGAAAGTATGCATCAAAGTTTTAAAAATGGTAGTACCCATCCATTGATATACCTGTACAACAGTATTAATTTCACCTAACCTGACACATTAGGTTGCAAACTGCTGTCAGAAAAACTTCATGAATGTAAATAAGTCAAGTTTATGACAAAAAATTGTGGCAACATCACAACTTTATGCTGGCTGAGGCAGGTTCATCTTAAGGTGATTCTGAACCCACAATGCAAAGTCTTGTTAATTATTTATTATGAAGATATATTTCTAGTGATTTAACAATAGAATTTCCAAGTAGTAAACTATAGTATCTTATATGGTAGTTCTTTAACAACTTTTGATTTTTTAATGTAAAAATATGAAATTCAACATAGTGTACAGTGCAAAATATGGCATGGAAGCTAAACTAAGTGAAAATTTACTTTAATCTAATATAGAATAATGTAACATTCTATGAGTTTTAGTCAATCTTAAATAAGTATATGGGAGTGAATGTGGTTTTACCTCCAATGTACTGTACAATAAATTACATTTCAAGGATTACGATATACATTTACTAAATAGCTAGTGAATAAGTGAAATTCAGGAATATCAAGTCTAATCTAATGTAATTGTGATATCATTTTATATGTTACATTAACCTGGAAAATCTTAATAAAAAAAAATACTGTGCATTGGACAAAATTATCATAAATGTATGGATGCTATTAGAAAGAGAGAGAGAGAGAGACCCTTCATCCCCCTCTGAGCCATGAGAAACACTACCATATGTCACTGATACAATGATGATTGTAAATCTAACTGCAGTAAATATGCATACCTGTATATGTAAACAAAAACTGAATAAATAAAATATGTAAAATAGCTAGAAAAGAGGGAGTGGTAGGGGGAGACAACTCTTACTCACTGACCAGGAAAACTGATCCTACTTTTCTGTGAAGGATCCATATTCTTTTCTCTGAGGTGAAGGGTCTCACAACAAAACAGAACTAACGTACAAGGTCACTGTAACAGAACTAATTAAAAAACTGAATACAAGAAAAGTCAAATTTTTTAAACAAGAATAACAAGAATGGAGGATTGCTACACTGCTTGGGGTATGGTATTCATTTTGTGCAGCTGAGTTAAAAATGTATATGGAGAATAAACTAACATATGTGTATTTCAGGTCCACTTGAACAGTTTTTAGAAACATGGTCATGGTCATCATCATCATCATCATCTGATCGAAGCATTAGGTGATCATCATCATCGCCATCATCTGAGGAGTGTTTGTTCCGTTCCATGCTCGCTCTCAGCTGACACTGCTTCATAGACAGCTCAACGTCCACCATCAGAAGAATACACTTGAATATTTCAATCAATGACCCAAACTGTGGGAATAATAACAAGGTAATAATTTTCTTCATAAACCAATCAAATTTTCCTGACCCTTTCCCTTGGTATGCTCGTTAAGAGTTGCCTCCACATTTCAGATATGATACTTTTAATCCACTTAATTTTGATATACAGTACTATTTCAATAAGTAAAGTATTCCAACTTTAAAACATGCTTTCTTTCATAATCCTGTCAATGATGTATACATCATAAATACATATAGCCCAAAATGTAAAAATACTTTTCATCAATCCTCTCCAACTGTTTTAAGACAGTAAAACAATGTAGTGTCTTAAAAAAAGTCTTTGTAATTTAAATGGCAATCTTTTCCTCAGCTATATATGGAAATTTCTAATCTATATTTGTTTTTGTCTTTATAAACAGATATACAGTAATCTAGTGTTTACACAGAAGTTTAGTTGGCACAAAGCAATATTACCATCTAAAATACAATACTGTACAGTTATCATCCTCCTCATTAACATTCTGCAGTCATTTTCTATGCTTGAGTTGGTTAACCGTGTAACGTGGTCTCTTATAGTCTGTCTTGTCTGGTTCTTAATGCTAATGTCATTTCTTACAACCTCTCCCCTAGTTATTCTTGGCCTCCTGACCCAATTGGTCTCATCCATTTTCTTCACATGCCCAAACCATCTCAGCATACCTCTTCACAGAACTTCACCAATATACTCTCAATAACCAGAAGCCCTTTTAACTCTGAAGAGAACCTTTAAGAATCTGCCCAATGCTATCTATCTTAATTTATTCCAATTGTTCAGTAGTACTGTAATATGATTGAACATGGTTTTGCTAGGACTCATTTTAGTTGAATGCAACACCATGTCCTATCAAGGGGTAATTGTACAATTCTTTTATAAGCAAAACAATTCTACTGTTTGAAGGATATACAGTATAATGCACATACCAGGGCCAAAAACCCAATGATGATGGTTCCCCTTTGTAATGGAATACAACCCATGCAAGACTGGAGCCGGAAACATGCTGGTGAAGTCATCTTGGTGGAGCCCTGATACACTGTCACTATATCTGTGAGAGGAAAAGTATATATAGTACAGGTACAGATTAAATTTATTAAAAAAAGGAAGAACTTTTTTTACAAATAATAGCTCATATTACAAATATGTTATGGAGCACCTGAAGAATAGTGTTAGGGTGATTAATCTTTAGGTGAAATAAGGTGGGGGTGAGGATTCTTCAGGTGATCTGATGTTACAGTTTATTGAGGAGAAATGAAAAGAAATGCAAATTAAGTCTTAGAGTCTTTTTGATGGTAGAAGACTTGCTTTCAAACGATGGTCAGGTTGTAGTTGATAGGGTAGACATGAGAAGATAAAGAGTTCCAAAGTTGAGCAGTAGAGAAAGAAGCAGGTTTTACTCTGACCCACCATCAAGTTACAAACACAAGGGTCAAAACCTCTATATCTAACTACAGTCAAAGGAAACATATTTTTGTTTCTACAACTCTGAGCAATAATGATGGAAAATATTTCATTTGAATATATCTAAAATTTTGTTGTGTTTTATAGTACTGTACTGTAATTACATACCAAGTGGAGTTAAAATCCACAGCTATACCAGTATGTTTGAGTTGGTTCATTCACAATGCTGGCAGAACACAGTTGTCCACCATGTCTATATCCTCCTCAGGTACAGCAGTTGCTAAAAGGGGCACAATAAACAATTTCAAGACACTGAACAGAGAGTAAATAAAAATTTGGGCCAGTCGTTCTTGATCTTTGACAATATTACCAATCCTCCCATAATGAAAAACTCACAACATCTGCCAAATTTCTTGCACATTTCAAGTACCAATGGCTTTTATCCAATAGATAAAACATTTATTGCACAGCTTTCGGATATACTACTGTACCTGTACAGGTAACTCTTCAAGAACTAAAAAAATATATACGTATATAAATAAATAAATAAATATTCAAGAAACTAATCCTTTCATGTGCATATTCATACAAATTTGATTTTTCTTCTGCCTTCCACATGATAATGAAAAAAATAAAAAAATCATTTGACCCAAACTGCAAACACAAAGGACAATATGGTGCACTTATTGCTGTGTTAAGATGTAACTTAACAACATTGTTTTAGGGGATCTTATAATTCAATTTCCTGACACAAAAAAACTCTTATCTCAAAAATAAAAACAAACAGTGCCGAAGAGGACATAGTTTGAATCTTTACCCCAAAGAAGCAAAGACAATAAAAAGAAAATAATCCTTTGCACTAAGGGCAGTAAAAATCTGGAACAGCTTGCCCGAGGAAGTTGTTACATCACCACCATAAAGTCTTTTCAAAATAGATTAGATAAGTCACGGGAGGGACTTGCAATACATACAGTATGACAACTACAAAGCGGGGTATTATTTACTTTAGGACATAGAGCGCCCGAAAGTTATAAACTACTAAAACATTTAGATCGTGCTATTCTGAGCATTTTTAACCCCGTATATATATGGCGAAAATGAATAATAGCTAGGCCTACCGGGGGTCCGAGGACGGAGCCCCCAGCTAGGGGTTGGGTTAGGTTTTGTTAGGTTAGAGGACTCATTTTCGTTTTCTCCACCACCCCCAAAAAAAAACGATTTCCCAGGCTCTCCCCCATTATTGTTCGGGGGGGGGGGGGGCAAAAACGAGCAATTTCCGCCAAAAATGAGGGTCAGATTCGTTTAAAACACACCAAAATACACTGGCAAAAACATATTGGTCAACCCCTAGGGACTCATGTCCTGAAGTAAAAATTTACCCAAAGCAGAAATACTGTACTGTACTTGATGGCACCACAGACCCACACAGGACCGTGGAGCCTTAGATCCTGAGCTGAAAAACTACCTCAAGTGACCTTAAGTAAATGAACATAAAGTACAGTTCCTGGGGTGGTCCTTATCAGCCCCAGGAACAATAATTCATGTTTTTGTTGGTTTTTACTTGAGGTATCATAGTCCACCTTCTTAAAAATAAATAAAACAAACATTCCAAACTCAATCTAATCTACCTAATTAAAAACTACTGTATTCTAAGAAAATTATGTTGGGTAAATTAGGTTTGGTTTCTTTGGATCAAGTCATCATTAATGAACAAGTAAAAGTTGCCAACAATGAGAGCTTTCTCTCTCATAATTTTTAAATTTAGTTGAACTAGTGTATTACTATCCTTGTTATGCACTTAATGACCTTCATTTTTGAAGAGCAGTAATAACATTATAATATAACAACAATGCTGCTGTCTGAGAGGGGTAATTTGTATACAAATAAATTGTATTGAAGTTGACAGTTGGTTCTTTTTCATTGACCTAATTTACCTGAAGGTTACCTCAACCAGAAGTGGTCATGACAAGGAAGGGAGGCCTAGATCTTGTGTAGGATCCCTCCATTGTTATTGAAAAAAATTTCCAGGGCTATACTGTATTGAACCCAGTACTGTACCTTGCTTTGACAAGTTTCAAATTACAGTCCCTGGCTACAGATAATACCGAATAAGCTGTTCTTGAGCCAATTCTGTCCTGCACAACATATAAAACAGCCACTTGGGTGTGCAGAAACATAAAAGTACATACAATATTTAATACAACAAATCTTTTACTAGAATTCCATTAAAAAAATATATATTGAAGTGGTAACCGTGGTAACATTATGAGATGTTCTTATTACTACCTTGCTATTGTACTATTCCAGATGATACTAAATGTTACATAATAATTCCTTGAGATAAATGTATAGTATATATCAGGTGCCTCAAAAAGGGTTCAGGTTCTCAACAGGCTCAGCCATGTTAATATTGTTATTATTATCCACTCAGTATCTGTATTTTTCAGGCTACATAAACTGCTGAAATTTAATTCAATTCATTTTTTTTGTATATTGTAATAACGTCAAGTATTACCAAATCCCTTTTGTTAAGTTATACCTGCGGCTATGATGAATAACAAGAATAACCTAGATATCTTTACATTTATCGCTAAATACCGAGTTATAATCCAATTCCCCACAATACATGGAGCCACACCATGTTACTGCATACACAAACCTGTTGTATCTGCTGTCAATAAATTACGTCTTTTATAAACTGGTATTATCTCTGCCCTCTCCACACTACCAACCTAAGTTACTTTACTTTTAGTTACAGTTACACAAATAAATTTAAATAGAGTAGGGAAACACAGTAATACGTACATGGAGGTGCACAGCTGGAGCACAAGTAAGAGGAACACTGCAGCACACTCACCCACCGCAGCCTTGTGTACTGAGAGTGCCAACAACGCCTGCGTCAGCTGCCATGACTCATAATATTCCCTTCTTGCACCATAACAATGTCATTACTTTATGGCGTTAGTGTCATTTATGTGTTGTTATCTACAATGTGTTTTAACTTGTTAACATTAAACCGTTTCATTCTTATACCAAACAGATAAACTTCGGGGAAACAATAACATAACACAAGACGCGCTCAATATTTTTCTCTAGGATGAAGGTTTTTATCGCTCTTTTATCTGCTATCTTTAGTGAGATTAAGTAAAATACCGCTTAGCCCTTCCTCTCCCCCGGTTATTTTGAAAAATATAAACACTGTACTGTACATGAACCGAACAACATACTTAAAACAATTTATCTTATATATATGTATATATATATATATATATATATATATATATATATATATATATATATATATATATATATATATATATATATATATATATATATATATATGCAAGTAATCACTATAGGTGCGCGTGATCCAGGTATATGCTAACCTTTTTCCTTGTGGTTATCAGCATATATATATATATATATATATATATATGTGTGTGTGTGTGTGTGTGTGTGTGTGTGTGTGTGTGTATAAAGCTGAATTAATGCAGTACTTATTCCGTGTGGGTAAGGCTAAATGCTAATGAAAACTTTAAAGCGCTCTTAATAAGCATTTTAAATAAATTTCACGTTTAATAATCTCACTAAAGCAAAACCAAGTTAAGTTGGTCTTTTCAACATTTTGTAAGGGAGTACAGTAAATGGGTCTTAGTTGGCCTTCAAGTGGCATGGCTGTGTTCGTCCTGGGGGAAATAGTCGAGTGGCGCGACAAGTGTCTTTGACATTCATTGATCCGTGCTGAAAATTCCAGATCATACAGGCATTTCTTGGATTTAGCTTAACTAAAGTTAAGATATTTAATTGTAAGTAACCACAATATTATCTTATAGTATATGGTAACTTTGTAGTGGATTCCTCCCCTACAAGCACCGAACCTTCTCGAATTCCCCAGCCTACGCCTTCAGAGCCGCCCACGGAGCGGGGGTCAACTATCTACCCACACCTACCCCAGCTTTATAAGGCCTGACACCGCTGTGACCAGCTCTCTTTTCTACCCAGTGCCACCAGCAAGCAACACCTCCCCCGCGCCAGCCGTGCGGCTGCCGCTCCCGCCAGCGACCTTGGCGTCCCTCAAGCCGCGTGTCCCTCCTCTGGGCACCCTCACCACCCAGCTCTCTCTACTCAACGCTTATTACCATGCTACCTACCCAGCAACAAGCTGCATTGTATATCCAATACAATATGTACACAGTGAGCACATTGTGAGTTTCCTTTCTCCATCCCATCCTGAGTGTGAGCCAATATCTCATACCCCACAACTTAACAGTTGCTGTGGGATTTCTATTACCACAAACACAACTCGGAACAAAATTCAAGAAAGCACCCGAACATTCCTCTAATAATGTTTGAAGAATTTCGCCTTGGAAATGTCAAATAAAGCTCTTTTTTTTATTCAGAATGAAAAAAAATAAGGCTTGACTGTAGGTGAATGATTGGTAGGCCTACTATACTGTAGATGCGATTGGGTGATTAGTCTAAAAATACATTTAAAATAGATATGGTGGCTTACTGTAACTTTCTAGGATGAGTGAAGATCGTACCAAGAATTCGATCGAATGACAAGATAGACTGACCCAACACTGCCTTCTAGACTAGAGCCTATACCCTAGCTAACGTGATTATAACGTTTCCAGAGAGTTGTATACAGTATACTTTGTTATAGGAAACGATTCAATAAAAAAAATGTTGCAAAAATGCTGCAGCAACATATCGCTGGAGATAATCATAACGTCGTGGCAACATAGAAAAAATATATAAAAATGCTTTAAATAACGCTACAAAAAGTCACAGTAACTGATTATAAACAGTTAATATCAAGAACTCGATCATGGCCGTATATATATATATATATATATATATATATATATATATATATATATATATATATATATATATATATGATAAAATCATACGGGAAAAGGGAAACAACGGAGCACCTTAGCTTTCGTCTTTATTCAAGACGTTTTCATTGTGGATCTACATGATATATATATATATATATATATATATATATATATATATATATATATATATATATATATATATATATATATATATATATATATATATATATATATATAGATGTTGGGGTGTCTAATCTTCAGGTGAAATAAGCTGAGGTGCGTAGTACAGTATTAGGGTGAAATTATCTGGGATGCCCAATCTTAAGGTGATCCGTTTAATGTTATCTTTGACCTTGGCTATAATTATATTTAACCATGAAGTAACCGTATAATTGGTTCAGTTTGGTTAAGGTAATATCAGGTGAGGTTATGTTAAGGTTACATTATGTTAACACTATATTAGGTTGTTATATTATGTTAACTTTATATTACGTAAACTGTTAAATTAACATTAAGATTATAATTAGGTTAACTTTATATTCTGTTAATGTTATAGGCAATACTATGTAAGGCTGGTTATGATAGTTTAAGGTTGTGTTTAGTTAATATTAAGTTAAGTTAAGGCTATGTTAGGGTACCGTTATTTAGGTTAATATTAGGGATGGACGTGTGCATCGTTTTTCGTCACATTTCTGGAACTTTGTATGTTGTAACCTTTTTTACTTAAGTTTAATGAAACGTTACTCCAACAAAACTTCCACCCTGAGGAAAAACGTTGCCAACATTGTGTAACGGAGAAATGACCAACCGCTTGACCAGATAGATACCAGTGTCAAAGAGGATAACCGAGTAATTAAGATATGACGATGATGTCTCAATGCCGTAAAGGTAAAGAATTTAAATCCCTTAAATAGTTAACATATTTATATTTATCCTCTTCACCACTGTTTGGTCAGCTTACTAGCCATCTTGAATTTATCAACCTCGCATTCTTAATATACGGAGAAAGTGAGGTTGAGGTGCGAGTTCGCTGCAGGACAGCAGACAACGTATCTCTTACTAGTATGTCCAGGGTTCTATCCCAGTCCCGGACACACTTGAGAAGGGTGTTATCCAGTGTGACCCTACCAAACATCGCAGGTTTCCTGGACCCCGGTTTCCTCTCGTATTAACAATGGATAGACCAATAGCCCGAACGGCTAGTAAGCTGATAAATGGTGAAAATTAAAAAAAAGAAGGACAAGAAGCAGCTAGTGACGCAGTACGAGTGGGAGATTTAGCCCAGGAATGTCTCTGAGTAGGAGGTCGTGTAATGCTTGAGCAGGTTCAGGTACACTCAGGAGCCGGTGCATGCCCAGTACTAGCGAGCCGATCTTTTGGTGAAGAGGATAAAAGAAAAGGAAAAGTAACCAGAGACGTGATCGATCGCCCAAGCGGCTAACGAACCGATCAGTGGTGAAGAGGATAAAAAAAAAGCGTTTACATCGCCCTTCTGGGAAGCATAAGTTGTTCATGCTTGCCTTCATGACTCATGCATTAAGGGCGTAAAAGCCTGAAGGGCCTATCCGGTATTCATCTTAATTTGTAATTGTTGATGGCTACTGTATTTAATAACCTGTAGTACACGCTTAATGACCTTAAATCTTGAAATGCAGTAATGGATCATAAATATACATTCTTTCTTGTTGTTTGTTTCCTTGTTTAATATGTTGTTTGTAGGCTTGTTTAATAAGTTTAATGTGCCGTTGTTTGTTTGCTTGTTCAATGAATTTAATGTTGTTGCTTGTTTAATTGTTTAATTTTTCCCCTCACTATTTACCCACATAAATCGAGTTATCTGGATATATCACCTGAAGGGTAAGTCGACCAAGGACGTCTACATCACTATCTTAGCTGTTAACATCCACCTTATCACCTTGCCCTCATAATTTGTGATGATATAAAGATAATTAGGGTAATAGTGGGGCAGACGGCTAACACCAGAAGGAGTTGTCCCATTTCGTTATTTTTCCCCCATCGGTGTTCTTTGGATGGTAGTAAGTAATAAAAAAATGATATGACAACTTTTCCTTTCATTTTATTTATTTTTTTCGTTTTCCTCTATCTTCAATAATAAACCACATGTGGTGAGTGGTCAGGGCATGAAAGGGGTGAGAAAATACGGGGTAAAAACTAAAAACACGGCGAACAGTAATAATATGGCAATAGTTTGACGTTTCTACGTATTTTTTAAATGTGGAGCCAAGTGGTGCTACGCTTTTTTTTAACTGAGTCCCTCTCCAAGAGACGCTTCCACGAAGGAGAGAGGTTTCATCACTTCCTGGCTGCCATCCTTGCTATTTATCTACCTCAATCTTCCAAAGAACATCTGTGGAAAAAATTAACGAAATCGAACAACTCCTGAAGTTAACCATCTGCTCCACCTTTACCATAATGAGAAACGATATGGTCATCACACAGAATATGTCTGTAATGCATAATCACACAATGCATTGCGGAAAGAAACTATATAAATGAGTCCCTAATGCTTTTGTTATAAGACAATATTATTATTATTATTATTATTATTATTATTATTATTATTTTTATTATTATTATTATTATTATTATTATTATTATTATTATTATTATTATTATTATTATTATTATTATTATTATTATTATTATTACATTTCGCCCCCAGGCCCCGATGTGGGTCAGTGATCTGTGCTCGGGTGGGGCTAATCCCCGTAAAAAAAAAAAAAAAAATTTAGGTGTCCGGGTGGTGGGGCAGAAGATAGTGTATGGCCATCTCCTCGCATACCTGCGGGTGGAGATGCGTCCCACCGTAGTCAGCGGCCCCCGTTCCTCATGCTTTATCAGCCAGTAAGGTGGCCTGGGGCCTAGGCCACTCGCACCTACCTACCAAAGTTGGTGTTATAATGTATTATTGCACCTTAATAAACCTGAATTTCAACAACTAAGGTATTTAATCATATATTCTAGGTTTATAAATGCACTATTCATTAACAATTATAAATAAAAAGATAAGTTCCACTTCAGTGACGATAACACGTCAGTTAAACATGTAATCGCAGATTGCCTAACTATACAGGTATTCTGTAACCAAGGATATACTTAACGAAATATGTGAAATATTCTTCTACAAATTCTATCCTTTTATAAATTATAAATTTCCTATTAATATGGCGACTGTCTTTCTAGAAACACAAATCATCTTTAAATATGACCAATTCCCTTGAGTAAGATAACATGTACTCAGAGGGGTGAGGGGGCTAAGTCATCGTACTCAAGGGGTTAATTATTCTGTAATTAAACTATAAAGGTTTCTGTAATATTGAATCAATAATCATCAGACTAGAATTGAGCATTAAACTTTAGCGTGAGTTTAGTGCAAAATTAAGTATCCTTTGTTCTGGTGAACCAAAAAAATTAAAGATGCAGTGAGGTCAATTTTACGGTGCACAAGAGGTAACGTGGCTGGCACTGCACTTGACCACTATCACTTTCCTTAACAGAAAAATTAGATACCTTTGAACACATAGGAGAACTAGGGTCGCCTTTGAGGCCAACCAGCAACTCAAGGACAGGAAGCGAGCGCAGTATCAACTCGGTCCCCGCACCCTTTGGTTTACTCGTAGATATATGCAAAGGCAGCCAGGAAAGAGAGACAAGGACAAATGAAGATTAAAGTCAACAATAAACTACAAGGTCCTGATAATTAACATTGGCTGAAGTACGGTAAGTACCATGAAGCTGAACATAACGCCATTACATAGTAGTCACAAAAGGTGAAGTCTGTCAGTGTGTGCATGAGAGCCCGGACTGTACTGTACATGTCTTGTACAGTACTTACCAACAATGCGTAATATATTAGCCACCTAAACAAGCTAGTTAAGGTGATCAATAGTAAAGAGGATATGGTAGTTTACCCTATCCTCTACATCATTTGTGAAGAGGAACGCCCCCCTCCCCCCCGGCAATGCATATACTGTACATGTAACTTCTGAAATTCATGGTGCCTATAATCAGGTGCGGGTCCAAGGGTGTCCCAAAGGGCCTTGCTCCTCCCCCCCCCACCACCAAAAAAATCGCCTGACATACCAGGGTTCCCAAGCCAAGGCTAGCAAGGCTCTTGAAGTCGCAAGGAGCTTATAAGGTCGCTCGGCCCCGCAAGGGATGCTGTCATTTTTCTTAAGCTAGGTATCCGTCAGCTGTCAAACAGTACCGATGGCATGTGAAGTTTGTTCTGTTTAGGCGCGGTCTGTTTGATGCACGAATACCATAGTCATTCGATTCCAGCTCTATTCCTTGAAATCACGATTCCCTCAACTATAGGAAGGGTGTCAATGGAGCAGAAATTAGATTCTTCGATGCTGACCGCTGTGTGACCCTCAGTGGAGGGGAGTTGAAAGACTTTAAGTTGGAGAGGACCTACTGTGGGGTATGGGTTGTCTGGGTTCACACTCAGGATGGGATGGAGAAAGGAAACTCACAATGTGCTCTCTGTATACATGTTGTATTGGATGTACAATGCAGCTTGGTGCTGGGAAGGCAGCATGGTTACAAGCGTGATGTAGAGAGAGCTGGTTGGTGAGGATGCTCAGAGGAGGACAGCTTGTGGGTCGCCATGCTCGCCGGCGGGAGCGAGGGCCGCCAGGCAGCGGCGTTGGAGGGGGTGTTGCTTGCTGCGGCTGTAGCTAGAAGAAGATAGAGGTCACCACGAGGTCAGGTCTTTTATAGCGGAGGTAGGCGTGGGGAGGTAGTTGACCCCCGCTCCGTGGGCGGCGCTGGTTGACCTAGACCACGAGGCATACACTGGGGAATTCGCGGGGTCGGCTACTCAGCGACAGACAGCGTTTGTAGGGAGAAATCCACTACACTACATCACCTGGAGTTTTGGTTGCTGAATTACAACAATGGAAATAATAAAATATGGAATAGGCTCCCTGTGAATGCTTTTGATCACAAAAATTATCAAATGCGTAATATGGCAGTAATATTGTCCTTAAGATTTACAGGAAACAAAAAGAAAACAACGAAGGAAATTATTCTTGACTAAAGTTTCCGAATGTGGTGCAGTATAAAGTTTTATTTCTGTTGTAAAGGTTTAGTACCTAACGGGTACGTCCAACACATTAAATCATAAAAGTATTTAAAGAAAAACCCAGGAAAACTATTACAATACTGTATTTTTTCAAATTAATTAGACATAAATACCAATATAATAATGTTAGAGTGAAATTTTTTATCAATAAAGCTTTATGGGAAGGTAAAGTCAATAAACTAGAGGATTTACTTGTTATATTACACCGCCCACTACCATCATGCATCACAGTCAGCTGACAAACCAAAACATGGATAAAAGATATAAAGGTGGTGTTTAACCTGCTAGCTAATAATGACCTATATCACCTGTATTACGTGTGTAAGTATTCAAAGTCAAATGAAGTGTAGGTTGCAGATCGAAATTGGTTATCTTATATGAAAATCTTATAAAGGTAAAGGTAGAAGTGGAAAAGTGAAGGGCTATCCTGAAGGTGGGTCATGTCTTTTGCTCTACTGAAGGTAATTAGGTAATATGTTCGAAGTGTAGGCAATGGGGGCAACTATTAGCATATAATTTACCATGAATCTACTTAAGAGATAAGTGTTTCAATACTTTATGTTGTCCTTGGGGTGAATGTTTGCATTTGAGAATAGTTCTGAGTTGTCAGATTTCCACTACTGTGAAACATCTACCCATTTTCCCAACAGTATCAATAAAATGAAGCAAAATTCTAACTATATATACCAACAATAACTAAAATCACTTACCAGCACTTGTAAGTCGATATTTTGAGCAAAGAATTGGAGGATATGTTACAGTCTGGGTAGTGGGAGGCACATTTTACCCAACAATGTCAATAAAACGTTGGTAAATGCGAGTCATATCCTTATTTTAAGCTACATATACTTATAATCAGTCAGCAATAACTGAAATCACCTACCAACACTTGTAAGTCCATATTTTGAGCAAAAAGTTGGGTCTTGTGGCATCTGTTTAGATATGCAGAATGGATGTTTTCTAGTTCTGCGCATGACCGGTCATGTGCAATATAGCACCGGGATAAAATAAAATTGAGGTAGAAATTTCACCTAACACCTGGCTTAACAGCTTTATACTTGGCATTATAGAATTTTATAAAAATTTCTGGAGATACTATTTGCATGACAATAAACAAAAATGGAAACAGCAATGCACAGAACCAAACCAAACCTACCTAACTTCCTAACTGGAGAGCTCCTCCCCCCTTACCCATGGCATATTAAGCAGAAAGAATGGTAATTTTTTTCTTTCGGGCAACACGGGAACCTTAGAAATTTTATCTTTGCAATCAATAGTTTAGACTATTTTTAAGACACTTTTCTTCTATGACATTTTCCCTTGCAAATGACCGAACCTACCCTCCTAACCCTGGGCTCTGACCCCCCCCTGGACCCCCTGGCATATATACGTAAGTCATTTGCAAAGGAAATGTCATAGAAGAAAAATGTCTTAGAATTGTCGAAACTAACTTTAGTAAAGATAAAATCCCCAAGATTTCCGTGTTGTCCCAAAGTAAAATAATACCGAAAAAAGTTACTTAAATATCAGGTACCAATGAAAGCATTTTTCTTCAAGGGGCATAATGTAATTTTACTCTTTTTTTTTGTATGTTATGTATGATTGGTTGTTGCACTGAAACCTATTTCTTCTTCACTGTCATTTCTCTGGCACATTTTTAACACTTGCACATCCTGCCAACTAGTCCATGTTGACAGATGATTTCCACAAGCAAAAATAACTTGTGATACGATACCAAACACGACCCTATTACAATGTTGAAAAACAAGATGGCTCTCTTCTTCAGTCCTCCTTGGGGAATAACATGAGTATATGAACATACAGTTCACTTAGAATCCAATGGTACTCGCAAGAAATTGGAATTGTATCCAAAACCATAATATGGGATTTGAATCCAACTGTGTGAGTCTCATCCTTTATACATGAAATAGGTTCAAGAACCAATTGAGCAAAAATAAAAAAAAGTAATGGGGTTTGTGGAAGCTATAAACATGAAAACCAGGAAAGTGAAGCCTATAACATTGAAAACAAAAGATGATAAAACCTCTGATGTGATGTTCTGTCATTACAGTGCTTATAAATGTTTTCAAAGACTGGATTCAACGACATGCGGTGCCATGAGAGAATTTTCGGCGGAATATTTATACTAGTAGAAAAATTTTTTCTTCATCTACAATGCATGTAGAGACGGGAAATGACTGCCATATGATCATTTTTTTGCCATGTTGTACCCCATAATTTCCCTCATCTATCATGCCCTTCCCACTACAGGTGGGAAGGGAAAATATGAACATATTCTATAAAGTCCTTCAGGTGCTTACTGTCTACTCCACTATTACCAATTTCTCCATAGAAGAGAAAAGCTATAATTTAGGAGACACACAGATATGGGTTCAGCTTTGAAGTGGGATTTCAGGATCAGTTTTTCATTATCTTTTATGTTTGACAATACTTTTACTGTGTGACTTTTCCACAGGATGAATATATGTAAGAGTTGGAAGCCAAACGGCAGCAGACCATGAGTAGTAACGAGGTTAACTGTGGGCCACTCTTGAGGTGTCTCTTCCAAAATGACTACAAGATTTACAAGGTAAGACCTAAGAATAACTGAGATTTAACAGGTAAATCCTGAGAATTACTTAAGACTTTCAAGAAAAGTCCTGAAAATTACCAAATTTTATGAGGTTAAAAAAGTGAAAGTGGGTCCCATAGGTATTACTGCCCATTAGGGACAGTGTGAATACAACACACTGTATCCACAAGGAGGCAACAAAGGCTGGTACTGCACTTGACCGCATTCACTTCCCCAAGTTAGAAACTTAGGTACCCATTTACAGCTGGGTGAACTGTGAGTGCTAAGGGTAAGCCCTAAAAATGACAATGTCTCTCAAGGACTTCTTTAAATTGAAAAAAAAAAAATGTAGATTTCTGAGGAATCTCGGCATACCAGAACTTATTCATACTCAGGACTAGCTCTCTGTAGAATTCCCTGACTCAGAATGTTTTTGTTGTGTTTTGAAAACATTTCAGACATGAATACCTACAAGTAATTTCTAATTTTTGTCGAGTCTCATGTCAAGTGTCATATCTTTATTGACAAGTCAAAGTCACAAGTCAGTACTTTACATATTTTTTTTTCACATCGGGCTTTAGTTCTGTGGTTAAAAATCAGTAATGGGGCAGTTAATCTAAAATATTAGATAAATACACAAACTTTTTTGCAAACAACCCATGAAAAGTCACATGTAGTAATACAGTACTGTAACTAGTTTTACGTGGTGCCAACACGTACAATTGACACTGCAAATGATCACCTCTTTATGGCCATTTACTACCAGACTGGATTTACCTGCTGTTCAAAAGGTGACTGCAAAGCCTGGCATACCAACCCACTAGGGCCCTCGACCCTATCAAACACTATCAGTCTGAGGGTGTGGCTGAGGGTGTGACTTTAAAGTTATGATGGCTGACCCAATAGCTGATAGGTAGTATGGCACCACAAAGAGAGAGACTTTCATTGTTGATGGTGGCTGTCACTTCTTCTAAGGGTGATGGTTTTGATGGAAGGAAGAACTACAGTAATTGTGGGATAGTTTAACCCCTTCACTACAGGGACACCACTTTTAATATTATATTTGGGTAATACCAGATGATATTCAGCAGAGAGGGGACCCCATAAACAAGTAGTTAGGGGTAGATCTAGTCTTGCTCCATCCTATACTTTAGTTGATTTGGAAACTTAGTGTATTTTCGTTGATATGTAGGTCATAAGTGAAGACTTAAAGTTGGGATCCCATTTTATAGCCAAATGGGGAAAACAAAGTGACCTGATTTCACTCCCCCCTCCATTAGTTGAATTCTCAATTTACAGTACAGTTATTGTGAGAGTTTAAAGCTTGGAGCCTGTATTTATGGCCACTTGGAGGTCTGAGGCTAAGGTAAACCAATCTCATTGCTGCAATATGTACTTGGTTTACTTGGCAATGCAAGTACTGTGTATGCTTGTCAGACTGGACAGTATCTCTTGCTAGGAGATGTCAGGCCCCCCAGACTATAGTGGGTACTGTCAGATGGTTTAATAATGGGATTATCTCACTGGTTCCTCATCACTGCTCCTCATCTATAAAATGGGATTTCATTCTTTAAATCTCCATTTGTATCTCATGTAATTATTTCCATGGTTTGAAAAGCTATTCTTTATTACACATAGTATTCTCTTCAGTTCAGTAGAATGTAGCAAAAATTATTTTTCTGTTGGGAATTAATGGATCAAGTATGAAGATGATGGTGGGCATTAATCACCATACATGTACTGTACATTTATTTTCAATATACCTGTATGTCCAAATGCTTGCTTTTTCACATACCGTACTACTAAGTTTATTATATTTTTCAGGAACTGGATGCTTACCTTTGTCAGGATGGCAGTGTCACCTCTGAGTATCAACTCTCCCTGTCCCTTGAAGCTTGCACATCTCTCAAAGAAAAGCTGTTGTCTCATCCACAAGAAGCAGCATTCATATTTCATCATCTTGTTGCCAAACGCAAGCAAATTAAGGCAAAGAGAGATGCACAGCTGAACTCCTCTTCTGCCACTGTCGCTGAGAGTAAGGCAACAACTTTCACTATTAAAGAGTGCCAGAAAGTCAGCAGTTTGCCAGGAGGTAATAAAATGGGAAAAATTTTTATAGAGAGTTTGGATCACTGCTTATGGAGAATTGAAAACTTAGATGAAAAGCTACAGAAAGAAGTGGCGGAATATTCAGCATTATTAAAACGGCAACAGAAAAGCCAGTCTCCTAGAAGAAGTATTTTGTCAGGTGTAAAACATAGAACTCTTGAATCTGTTGAAGTTTCAAAACTTAAAGAAAGAAAGTTAGCAACAAATGTGGAGAAACTGAGAAATGAAGCTCTTTTCTACAAGATATTTTCTCTTTCTGGTGATGTGGATCTCACTGTCTTGAGTGAATTATTTTCCAGAATTTTGAGGCTTTGTTATGAAAGAAATTTATTAGCTACACATAGAATACATTTTTCTATATTGTCAAGTTCTCGGAAATGTTTAGAACTGTACTGTACTAAAGAAGAAGAATACCTTCTTGGCAAATCTGCTTTTAAGAAAAATGAATCAATTCAAGACGTAGTGGTACTCACTCCATCTAATATAAGAGAGCTGTATTATATATGTACCAGAAATTCAGAACATATATTGAAAATTTTATTTGAAGTATTAGTAAATAATTCTGTTACTAGCATGAAGGAGATAGAAATGCATGAAAAATCCAATTGGTTGATACCTCTGTGGCCTTTGATGTTTATACAAACACTGTCAACATCTCATGACCAATTGAAAAGTCCCACAAATGTTGCAGCAGTCTGGGAGAAACATTCAAATGTTGTTGATCCTACTCTTATGGAGCTGTGTAGTGACCTCAGCCGAGACATGAACTTTGTGTCCTGGTGTCTGGCTAACAACAGTAGGATAAAGGCAATACCCCTCTTACAGCTAATGAGAGACCATTCACCCCTGTATGCACTTTATAAATCACTACAACTAAATACTTTAATTTCAACTGAGGTGTTAGAAATACTTACAGAACATTGTATGGCCAGAGATTCTAGTGGAGAGTTAAGCTCTTTTTGTACGAGTACTTACATAGCTTATTGTATATTGTCTCGAGTGTTTGAGGTAATTGGAGCTGGTATGCAGTTGGATATTATGGCTGCTGGATGGCAGGCAAGAGGAAAACTGTTTGCTGGTAAAAGATTTGGTGGTGTTGCAACAAACAGCTTTCAGAATCGGCAAGCTCATGAATTATTTTATGTGCAAAACATTGCAGAAAAGCTTGAAATTGTTCAGCAAATGCTAGGTGACTTACAGCCCCTGGAGTATAGATTAGAAATAATGGAAAATATATATTCTCTTTTATTTGTCAACCATAGTGATATGAGTGATGAAGGCCAGAGTGAATCAGGAGGCGAGGAAGGTGAATTAGAGCGATCCTATATCTCGCAGCAAACTGATCTAGATAGCCTAGCAAGCACTCCACACACTGAAACACCCAAGAGGCCCAGATCACCTCAAAAGTCTTCTAATCCAGCTTCAATCACTGCATTAGAAAAAGATGGAGACCCCAAAAGGAGTAAAGTGCTGAATTTTTCTGAATATGTTGTGATTGATGAGAAATTTTGTGGGGCAGTGAATCTTTCAAGTAAACCATCTAATGCAAGCAGTTTGTCAGAAGATATAGGGCAAGTTAGCTCCTCTTCAACAGATAGCAAGAATAAAGACCTGCATCATGTTGCTGATACTCAAGCAACTGCAAAACTCTCTGAATCACCTTGTGTATCTGAACAGCTACAGTGGGACACATACCAAAACTCTTCTCAGAGTTGCCAAACAGTTCATCCACAAAGCAGTTGTGCAATGAGTGGGAAAAGCACAGGGTCCAGCATAAGTGAACTTCCACGTACAGGATACTTAATCAACACCTTGGTGGCGTGGGATATAATGTTACTCCTTCGAGATTCACTTCTTGCCTTCAGTGCCCAGTTGTACAGTCAGAATGCCCAACAAACTCAATTTAATGGAAGTAACTCAAGATTGGCTTTTGATAGCCGCATCACTAAGCTCTCACGTTGTGTCAATGAAGGGTTATGGCGACTTCAGGTAATGGCTCCTGGCACTCATAAGTTTGCCTCCCCTGACATATTTGATCATTACTTAGATGGCACACTTCTTTCTGATACTGCTCAATGTTTAGTGTATGAAAATTCTCCTAGATTGGAAAGTGTTTTTCAGAAGACTTCTTTGTTTAAGGTAGCTGGTTCCTCTCATGAAGGTAAAAAGAGGCTTGCAAAAGACCATGAGCCAAGTGAAGTTGGAGGACATTCAACTAAATTTAGAAGCATCATAAATTTTTTATTTGCCCCACCATCAAGCCTCATCACACTGGCATTAGCTAATGGTAATGCAGATCGAATACAACAGATATTCCTTACGTATAAAGTTCCAGACATCGTTGAAAAACGTGAGGCACATTTAGTAGTACGTCTCAATGAATTGAGGCCTAAATTGTCAACTGCAAATCAGAAGCCTGGAAGAGTGAAGGAAACCAGAGTAAAACAGGCTAGTAGTAACTCTCAAGATATACTTCAAAATATTGGTCTATTGGCTCGGGAAGGCTCAGCACAGGTTGGGGCAACTAACCTGATATATGACCTTGTAACATCTTCCCCGCCACCTGTGCCAAAAGGAATGCCAGAAGCTGCCTTAGAAACGGGTTGTCCTGTAATGACCTCGTTCTTGGTCCCACAGGCTTTGGTATTATCAGACTTAGCTTTGACAGTGGATGTAAGTGAAACCACTGCCACTTACCTGATAGAACAAGCTCTTCAAAGACAAACAACCCACAGTTCTACCCATGATAAGCATCATGAGACATGTAGTGGCATTCAAGGCTATATTCCAGTGTTACAGCAGCTGGGTGCTACTTGTAGTGCTGTCACCGAGATGAAAAAAACAGAAGACAGTGGTGGAACTGTTGCAGGAGACATTACTGAAAAATTTTCACTGCAGTTATCATCCCTGACTGCTACGCCATATTCACTTCTGTTGACATCGTATCCCTTACAAGATGTTGATTTAAAGAATTATATTAAAGGCTGGTCCAGGGTTCTCAAAAGTATGTGTGCTGCTCAAGAAGCTTTGATGTTGTTTGATAAAACACACCAAGATAAAAGTTTGAGTGCCCACGCAAAGAGTCTAAAAAATCAAAGGCATCAGTCATACAAAATGTTGCTTCATGTACTGAGTGAAGAAGCTCCTCATTTATATGTAAGTTGTGTTAAAGAAAAGCCATATACCAAATTGGGAGCTTTTGTTAGGTCTTTTTATCAGTATTTGCAACTGCTGTCATCTATGATTATCCAGCATGCAGATAAACATTTCCAGAAGAATATGAGTAGCTATTTCTCTCTGTTAACTCAGAGACCTGTTCACATACTGGGATCCCTCATGTTTAAGGAAGGTGTTGATCCTGTTAAGTTAGAACCAATAGCAGCAAGAATGAGACTGAATTTGACGACCATGATCCTCCAGTATTGTTGTCCGAAGTTCACAATATCTAGAGATAATTTATCCAGAACAATTGAGCAGGGAAGTATGGGGGATCATGCTGATACACTGGGGTTTAAGATCTTGCACGAACGAGTCATCCTGAATGCCAGTGCTGTACACTGTCAGGCTAGTGTGTATGGAGAAGTTGTAGTCAGGGATATTCTGATGACCATCCTAAGTGGCCTTCGTGAAATCATCCAACCTGTTGCAGTATCATCAAAGTCCCATCACAAAGCAGTGATCTTAAATGATGCCACAGCTCCAAGCGCTCTTCTCTCGGGAGATGTTCAAGTGGCACTCAGAGATACGGCTGATCTAGCTGCAGTAGATTTTAAGAAAATGGTGCCTGGTAATGAAGCAGTTGCCTTTTTCATTAATTTGGTCAATTTGATGTTCATTCATGCTGGTGTACTTAATCACATATTATATCCAAGTGGAAAGCTAGAGCCAAGAGGAATATTCTCAAAGCATCAACTTGAACGAATAATGGCTATGAAGCGGCTGGGCTATATGGTAGGACAGCTGGGGTTTCTCTCTCTATATGACATCTTGTACAACATCCTTTCACTTCATAATCCACTCTCCAGTATTTTGATTCAAAGTGATATTGAACACAAATTTAGTCTTTGTGAAAGTGATTTAATTTATGATAAAGTTCAGCCATCAAGCAGAGATGAACTACACCAGCTTTTAACATTGCCACCTAAAATCAGCTTTTGCATTACACAAGGAACTCCTGTGTCACCCAGAGTGGAAGTATTGTATGCAGATAGAATGGAAGAACAGATTCATGGAGCAGTTCATGAACACCTGAGAATATTTCTTTTTCTTCAAGACAACAGAAGTTCAAAGTCTAATGTCAATGTAAAGGATAGAAAATGGAATATTTTCACTTCCAGGACAATCCTTAATTACTTAGCTCTTCATGCAGATGGTGTAGCTGATGGTATTCACTCACTACAGCAGAATGCTCCTGATGATGTGGTTAGTACACTTCAGAAACTAGAATCTGAATTGTCTAAAAATGGACAACCAGAAATAATTGTTCTTGATAAAACTGTGGGAAAAGGTATTGTGCTTGAGTTCAGTGAGGAATGTGAGGATAAAAACCTTGTCAGTTTGGCACTAGGTGAACCTGAGACAAGCAGTGTATCCATGACACCTGAAGACTCACCTTGGTTAGCTGCTAAAGTTCCACTCGCTGTTCTTACTTATCTTCGGAGGAAGTGTCCTCTCCTAGCCTTTATAGTACAAGCATTTCACAGTATGTCAGAAGTGCATAAGAATAACCCAGCATGGGTGGATGATACTATTGATATGTGGCTCAGTGTCTTATATCCTCCTTCATTGGGAGTCAGGCCACCTGCTGAAGAAGCCAAAGTGTTTCGGGCCATTAAAAATTTATTTTCAATTGGTAGACATAAATCATTGGCAAGAATTTACAAGGGTAATAAAGTCACATCAGCACTCTCAAGTGATCCAGATGTGTGTCTCATTTGGAATCTTGCTGATGAACTTCTAGGAAGTGGTGCAATAACTAAAAGCTACTCCACCAAGCTGCATCATCATGTATCATCATTTGTGACAGTACTACAAGCTCTTCCCACCGTTACTCTGGAGAAACATCCTGACCTTAAAATACTACTAGATCACCTCTTGGTGTTTCTGGTCCAAACAACAGACTCTGCAGGTAACGTGGATATATAATTTGGATGATTCTTCCCAGTTAGCTACATATTGTGTTTTCTGTACTGTTGAGAATTTAATATGGAGATTTTGCCATATATTGATGGTACTGTATATTAAGTTGTTTTCAATATCACTTTTTTGTGTTCACAGCTGATCCTCCTCCATGGATGTTTGCTCACCAGATATCCGACTGTGACATGAGATTTGCTGTTAGTATGGAAAATCACAGGTAAATTTGCTGTTCAGAAATTGGGAAATTGACAGAAAATATGTACAGTACAGTACGGTAGTTATTAAAGGCAAGTAAGTCCAAGGAGTGAAAAAATGATGGTCGGTCTTGAGATCTGTATAATTTCAAGATCTTATGTAACAGTCTCCATGCAGTGTGTGTGTGTGTGTGTATGTATATATATATATATATATATATATATATATATATATATATATATATATATATATATATATATATATATATATATATATATATATATATATATATATATATATATATATATTCAAGTAAATCACTGTAGGTGTGTGATCTAGGTATATGCTGATAACCACAAGGAAAGAAGAAAACACGAAGTTCCCAAGCGCTTTGTGTAATTCACATCTTCAGGGGTGAGTACAGACTAAAGAGGAGTACAAAACAAGGTGTATATATTCAGAGAGGGTGAGACCAGGTCCACAATGGTCAGGTATAGGTAAAGATTAGTAGGGTCATTACCTAAGTGTCTCCAAGATTTTGTATCAGAGTATGCGACCCTGCTTGTTTGTGGTTGACCCCCTGATCCACCTTTACACATGACTCACTCTCGCATGAGCCAACCCACCCAGCATCTCTTTCTAGCTTACGGCAACATCTTTTTGATAAAAATTGAGTTTATCCACCCAGCATCTCTCGCTAGCTTCAGTGTCTCACTTGAGAATCAAGTCTACCCACCCAGCTTCCCTGAGATGGGGTCCAGAACACTTGTCACTTCCACCTTAGGCTTGGTAAAGTTTCAGTTACAGTAGTCATTCACTTTATATTGGGGTTATGTTTTCTCTGATTACGTATAACGTTAGTTTATTGTAAATTTACAGCTCATTGTACTTTATTTCAGGAATTGGCTGGTGTTACCTGCTATTGAGCTCCTAAGTTTAATAGCACATGACACACGACTCAAGTGTCATGAGCAGAAAGAGGCTAGGAAGCGAGCTGAGCAGATTGAGGTGTATAATAAGGTAATGTACATTGTGCCATTAGTAATATTTATACCACCTCAGAACTTGTTTCATCACACATGACCACAGACTTAATAGTTTAACCAATGTAGCTCACTGAGAGTAACCAGCTGAAAAATAGACATTAAGTCTGTTAAGTTCTATTTGTCTGATACCCAATACACTCCTTTCTGTAACTCACACAATGGATCAGGCATCTCAGGTACAGTCTTCACAAAAAAGTCTCGACCCCATGGTCCGGTGAATTGAAAATGGGCAGTAATGTTTCAGAATGTTACACTGCAAGGGTAGAAATACTTTTTCGTTGATTTTACAGTCAAAACATTCACAGGTATGGCAGCCCACTCCTACCAGGACTCCTTGGCAACGTTACCTGATTTTATTGTACCCCAACACCAGGCCACAGCTATGCAGGTACACAGTATTTGCTGATCTGACAACTGTGTAGGCATTATTATGTGACATCTTACCTCACCTCACACCTCTTCACCTTGTGACTACCATGCACATTCTTCCACCATTTAGTGACCAGAATACCTTCCTACCAAGTCATTGTAATACACTACATATCACAATCTATTACTGTATTGTATACCGACTCTCATTGGCAGAAGGCCTGTTACTCTTTGTGTGTGTACAATAACGAGTTTTTTCTTCTCTTGCTATGTAACCCATTTTGTTACTTAGGTATTATAATCATAATGTTTTTCCAAACTTTCAGATCCTTATGTTGGGAAACTCCTCACATAAATCTTGGCAAGAGGTGGAACTTATGTCGAATGAAAAGCCAGCTGAGCTCCTTCAGTATCTAATTCAGAAAAAACAGTTCAAATTGGGTGTTCAGTGGGCAGATTATCACAATGGTAGTGCTGAGTTGCGCCGCTTGGTTGATCAGAGCTACCTAATGGATGTGTTAGATAAAACCTCTCCAGAATACAATATTGCCTTAGAGGCTCTAAATGCCATAAGCCTAAAGGATTTAATGATAGTAATGAAGAACCTCTTACAAAGACTTTCAAACATCCCCACTCGGCGCTTCTTGATAGAGGTTTTTTTGAAGAGAATTCACTCTACGTGTGAGGATTTCATTTGTAATAAAAGTACTGAATTTGAGGAGAACAGGAAGGATACTACAAATGTGAGTGAGCAAGAATCTGATGTCAAAGAAAGTAACTGTGATATATTTTCATCTCTTGATATTATGAGTTTACAGCAAGAAGTTATGGGACTTATCTTGGTTGAAGATGTAGGGCCACCAGCAGCTGACAGATTCCAGTTGAGCCACCTAGCTTCTGCACCACACCTCATTATAGAGCAGTGGTTGATGAATATCAGATTAGATGCAGTAGGTAAGTCCATAAAGGTACTAGCTCAGCACCTAGACATGGTTGGCATGGGAATATCTCCCCCTAATCATTCATCAGATTTTGGAATGTCATTTTCATGTACTGACACACCAGCTCAAACACGAGAGATACAGGGTTTGAGTTGGGATGTTCTCAACTGGCTCCTAGAAGTTTATGCAGCCAAAGCTCTGGACACTACTGGTGTACAGTTGGCTCTTAAGCCTCACCTTGTTAGTGATAAATCACCAAGAAAGTTTGTGATGCCATCACAACCTCCAAAAAGGAATGATTGGGTGCCAGATGCTGAGGTGAGAAGATGTCCCGTGTGTGAAGTAGCCATTTTCTCAATGTTCTGTCGCCGACACCACTGTCGCCGATGTGGCCGTGTCGTGTGCAGTTCATGTTCCCAGCACAGAAATGTTGTTCAAGGTTATGATGAATTACTTGTTAGAGTTTGTGCTGACTGTTATCAACAAACTAAAGAGCTTAACCTTCAAGACTATATTCAAGTGAGACCACTAGGGGATGGATCATATGATACTGTATCACAAACCTCAGATGCTCACGGTGTTCGTAGGAGAAATTCTTGGACCAGTGATACTGAAGGTGGTTGGTATCTCTCAACAGACACACAGCATAATGATTTAATCCGTCAGGAATTCTGCTATGATTATGCCCCATCTCTAAGTCTTTGCTTAGCTATATTGGCACTACACCAGGATCACAAGAGAGCAGCTGTTTGTACTGTCAAGTTATGTCATCATTTGTTTTCCCTCATTATATCATCTTTAAGAGCAGCAAGCCCAGAAACTGACCACAGTTTTGTATTGTCTATGATTCAGACCCTCCTAACTTCATCCAAAGTACGGTTTGGAAATATTGGTGAACTTCAAGGTATTGGTCTTTGTGAGTACTACACTCAGTGGGTGGATTTGCTCTCAATTTTACTGAAAGCAAACTGTGATCACATAATACCTCGTGAAGCATTGGAAAATATGCTTCTAATTGGTGAGTTGCACCAAAAGAACTTACTGAGAAATGATGATGTTCAGATGAGCTTGGACAAACACTTGAAGCAAGAGTTTTTCCACATGAGACGCTTGCGTGACACACTTGTAAAAGAGCAAATGTGGGAATTAGCCCTAGATGTATCAACTAAGGCAGGGCTTGAGACTAATGGAGTTTGGGGAGCCTGGGCCTTAGCTTCTCTCAAGGCAGGGGATTTTCCTGGAGCTAGGGAGCGATTTTCTCGAGTTCTTGAAAGGCCATCAGACAAAAATAGACCCTGCAACTCACCGATATTACCAGAAGTCATCAAATATCTTGAAAGTAACCCATTCCGAGTAGATCAGCAGGTAATGGATCAAGCAGACCGTACACGATCAAGTATCATGCTCAGTGATCAATCCAGGCTCCCGCCATCACAAGCCCTTGTAGTGCTTCATTCCTTAAAGAACCTTCACAGAATTTCTCAAGGCAATTTGACAAATAAAGATACACTTAGACAAGTATCTTATGGTTATAAAAGTAAGAAGGTGAATCCGTCCAGAATTCAATCCGTGTTTCAGGTTGAGTGTAAATATTATCTCAATTTGTATGGAAATCACTTGATGACCATTCAGTATTTTATGAGAAATAATCAAGTGCAGGAATGTGTGGAGTACTTACTTGCTGAAGAAGTTCACTTGGATGTCTTTATTGAAACTGTATTATTACCTTGCTTAAGATGTGGTCATCTTGATAGTCTTATGAGAAGTCTTAATGCATCTGACCCTCACATGGAAAAATGGGCAAATTTGATGTTTGGTGGCTGTCGCTGGTTAGAACGACGTGGATGGTGGAACTGTCTATTGGCTTTACAGGAAGCTTTGGGTGATAGACTCAGGGCATCCATGACCCTTTTGAAAATGTACAGTAATGGTGTTAACAGTTACACAGCACTTTCTGGTAGATCAGAATATGTAGTATCAGCATTAACACATCTTCAGGCATACTTGGACAGTCAGGCTTTGTATGGTGCTACAAGCAAGAGGAAGAAGCTTATTTTAGACATGTCTCCATGGCATGTCAACCAGAACATCAACATGTTAAAATTGCAGACTGATGTCACAAAATTCCTTGCAGGTAATGAATCAAGAGGTAACCATACTGCAGATATTTTGCAAAAGCTCTATGAAATGAAGATTTTAAAAGAGAGGTGCTTACCAACGCTTTTAGTTAATAACGATGAGCGATTAGCGGTAGCAATACTCGTAATATGTGGAGCTCAGGTTTTGGCAGATGGCTTGAACCTTGCGTATCGGATAGTGGAGAGAAGTGAACTACCTGTAGAAAGATTGTTATCAGTTTGTTGTCAGTTACTGATGCAGAAAAATAAAGTAGAAAATATGAGTCAGTTTGTGAGAGGAATACAAGAGTGGGAGGTTCTGACACTCGAGGCAGTAGATGCTGCTCTGCAGCCAGTACTCCAGGAAGTGGCTGCAAACACTCAAAATGCTTCCCTTGATGTCCTTGTCAAGCTTCTCTCCAGTGATAAGGCAAAGGTATATTATAAAATTTCTTCAGATTATTGTACAATTTAGATACAGTACAGTAGTTGTTTTTGATAGTATAGAAGCTGATTGGATACAGCATTGATCACTTGTCCTAAGGGTCACTGGTTTGTGCTTGGGAACCCCAAGTCCTCCAAGCTGTGAATGAGTACCTAACTTTACAGCTAAGGAAGTGAAGGTGGTTTAGTGCAGTGCTGGCAACACTGTCTCCCTATGTACTTAAGACTTAGTATTCTCTCTGTAGACACACTACACTGCCCCTAATGCTCCACAGGCCTATTTTTCATATACAGTAGTTATTCATAATGTTATTTGTGTTGTTTAGAGTAAATGAAATTTCAGTTGTGTTTGTTGGTACCTTTATACCACACCTGTATAGTGTATATTGAGTACAGTACATAATTTAAATGTTTAAAAAGGCATGTTAGAGCAGATGCTGAAACTTCTCAAAAAGTTTTGGGTACTTGACATTGAAAATTCAATGGAAATTTTTTTTATATTCTTACAATGCTTATATAGGTTTTGTCTTTTGTTTGAGAGTATTTAATCTAACTTTATAATTTTAATCCAATTACTACAACACCTACAAGGATACTGATCACTTAAGTGTATGTAACAGAGATCTTGTGCATGAGTATATATGTGTCTGTTACACTTAAATGTTTCTTGTCACTCAGGTGGAAAATCTTACATATTTGACACTTCTATATAACTGACACACTGGATTTGGCACCTGAAATAAATCCAGCTTTTGCATGATGTACACTCCTCAGTAACACATTTTATCACAAGCTCTGGATCATATTTTTTTTCTTAATAGACATTCTGTATTGTTTCTGGTTCAGATGGAAGCTTTCATTGAATGTGGACGTTTAAAATCAGCGTACCTGGTGGCGGTTCATCGTCGGAGTTGCGAAGATGTCAAGCGAGTTCAAGAAGCAGCCTCGCTCAGTGGACAGGTTCACATAGCAGCTATGTGCAACAAGTGGCTCATTAACTATCAGAATTCTGTATCCACCTAATAATATGTAATGGAAAGTCACCAAGACGCATTGTAACAGGGAAGGCGGTACAGTACAGTACAGGTAAAACATAAAACTTCTGGTACTACGTTATCATAAATTACAGTCGAGTTATTAGAACCAAAGTCACTATAAGTACAGTACTGTATAGTAATACAGTATCAAAATCTATATACCGTAATGATTACTTCTAATCTCTACCGATACTACAGTCCCTATAGAGACTACCTTCTTGTTGGCTAATACTGTACAGAACTCATACAGTATCTTTTATGTGCGTTAATACCTGTACCAATGATCAATCTAAATTACCGGTAAACAATTATTGATTACATACAGTACTGTAGTTTGCAAAATAAGATAAAAATTTGTTTTACTTTCCCATCTCAAACACATTTAGATGCTTGATCTTATTTCAATAACATTTTATGAATTGTTGTGGATTTAAATCAGTTGTTTTCATATCTTGTAGACTGAGCAAAAAATTGGTAATGACCATTATGATTTTTTTTCTTACTGGATGGTTAAGATTGTTGCAGGTAAGTCATAGCTAAGAACTGAGCAATTTTGAGAATTTGAAGTACATATACTGTACAGTATTACCATACAGAATGTAATAGATGATTACTGTAGGTATACTGTACCATGTGCATATATATATATATATATATATATATATATATATATATATATATATATATATATATATATATATATATATATATATATATATATATATATATATATATATATATATATATATATATATATATATATATATATATATATATATATATATATATATATATATATATATTTATATATATATATATATATATATATATATATATATATATATATATATGTATATATATATATATATATATATATATATATATATACATATATATATATATATATATATATATATATATATATTATATGTATGTATATATATATATATATATATATATATATATATATATATATATATATATATATATATATATATATATATATATATATATATATATATATATATATATATATATATATATATATATATATATATATATATATATACCTGTAGTATTAGTTACATTACTTATAATAATAGTACAATAGACTACTACTGTAACTTCGAAGTTCATAATTATTTTATTCATATATGAAAATACAGTACAGTACATCCAGGTATATTTGGACAGTACCCACAATATCGGTGAAAGAAACCAGTACAGTACAGGTAAGCAAAACTGTAACAAGTCAATATTTCTGGCTAATAATGTTCATGATCAACTGCTGCAGGCAGAGCTAGGTCACATTTACCTCAGTGAAATATGTTAGATGTAGGACAGTGCAAGGCATGTATTATCTGTCAGAGTTATTAGTAAACAGCTCTACAATGTTACCACTAGTGCATATATATATATATATATATACTGTATATATATATATATATATATATATATATATATATATATATATATATATATATATATATATATATATATATATATATACAGCAGACCACCAAATAATTTCCTCTTTTATCCTCTGAATTCTTCCTTTACACTTTTCCTATCTTTTTACAGTTAACAAAGGTATTAATGAACACTGGCATTTAAGAGAAAGTTTTCCAGCTGAACAATGTTAACAGTAAAATATAAATATACAGTATATATATATATATATATATATATATATATATATATATATATATATATATATATATATATATATATATATATATATATATATATATATATATATATATATATATATTATATATATATATATATATATATATATATATATATATATATATATATATATATATATATATATATATATATATATATATATATATATATATATATATATATATATATATATATATATATATATATATATATATATATATATATATATATATATATATATATATATATTACTGTACCCCCATTTTGTGCATTATTTCCTAAAGTAGAATGCCCCCTTTTTCAAAGCTCGCAGAAAAGTTCTCTTAATTTATAGATAAATTTAAATGGTGTACCATACAATAAATCTACCTCAAATTATTTATAGTAAGTCATCATATCTCTGGCTCAGCCTCTGATTGAGATTGGTTCTAACTTTATTCTCCAGATTAACACTGCCAAATTTTCCCTCCACCGTGTATCCTTATTAAATATGCTTGTTTTTCTCAAGCCAACACAGCGAGCATTATAAAGAGTTGCTGAAAATACAAGTACTGTCTTTACATAGGAAAGGCTTTAGATTTTTATTTCCTTGTTGTATATACAGTATATGGAATATTTTCCATCCCATTTTTACCTTGACAGTAGGCCAGTGATTCTGTGCTTTACAATTTGTATTTTTTAATAATTTTCTTAAGTGCCTCAGCTGGTAGTTAAATTCTTGTTCTTTAGAATTAAGGTGTATTATTATAAAGTCCAGGGACTGAAATTATTTTATATTACTGTGATATGTACAGTAGCTAAAACAACTATCCATGGTCTCATATTGTTTCCCACAAAGTATGCACAGATGGTTGTTTCAGTTTCTGTACATTTGGTAAAAAAACTATCTTTACAATTCTTGTGCGAAACAAAATGACACCATGAATGAAGGTTTTTGATGAAGGCCCATGAAACATACCTCACATTGGTAACAAGACAACGGGATTGCTCAGTTCAAACTTCATCGGACCCCTCTTGAAAGATTCTTTTTGTTTACTGAGTGTTCTTGTATATATACATCATAGTAAATATGTTATGTTAAAACAGATTAATGCCAATGAATAGATCTGATGATTCCTTACAGTATACAGGATCATCACTTATTCTGTCCTAGCAATTCTTTATCAAATATGATTTTTATGTCACTTTGTATAGTAATGTTACATGTGCTAATTTCACATCTTATTTTAACCTAAGGCTATGTATTACATCTCATCACTGTTTTATGGTCACTTTACAGCCATTAAAGTAATGATGGCTTCAAAGTTCCTTAGCCCTCATTACGCTCCCATATATTTACAGGTCAGTACATTGATTGGCAGAATCATATCCTGGCATCACCATTGAGGAAGAAAGTATTGTTTAGAAAGAATATTTTTCTTTTCTAGGCCTCCTGTCTTTTTTTCCCCCAACTCACTCACTTTTTAAAAATGTATCCTTTGGTGATTCCCTACCATACTTTATACTGTGATTAATCCATGACAACAAGTGGATGTGATGGGTGGGAGGGAAACACAGGGATGAGCTGACTTTCTTCATTACTCTAACATTAGAACAATACAAAAGTCAGCTCAATCCGGTGTTTCCCTCCCACCCATCACATACTGTACTGTGTTTCCCATACTGTCCATGATATTTTTATATTCTTGCAAAGCTGCAGCCGAGACAACTACTGTCTTCCCTTCTTGACAGTCACTCCTACATAAAGCATTTTCAAGAAAAATTATTGTTGGTTTCTCTTGAGATTTTTTTGAAAGTGTCCTGAGGTATGTACAACAGTGTATATTGTAGGCAAGGTACTTCAGTGTTACCCTACAATGAATGTGGCAAATACCACCATGCACAATTGTAAAAAAAAAAAAAAAAAAAGGTTATTAGAATGTGTTAATAAGATATTGGTTTACAGTGTGACATTGTGAGGCAGCTGTTTTGAATATGTAAGTTATATCATTTCATACTTTTTAATTATATTTCTTTATTAGTTAAAATTAAGAACAGTTATTTGATTTTGTTATTTCTTATTTTGGGCAAAGAGAAAAATGTGTGCTACTTGTCTAACATGTTCCTGTTCAAGAGCTTAGTAGAAGGAAGCTGCAGACATCTCGGTATGTACTGACAATAAAACACACACACACACCCTCACTCACTCCATTTTGTAAAGACAGTTTTACAGATACAAACCTCTAGCTTTCTGAGTACATCCCTCCCATAGTGATTTATCAATATTACATATACCTGGTAATTGTTTCATGATTGTACCATTGATCACCCATATATGATCTTGCACCATTGATCACCCGTACATGATCTTGCACCATTGATCACCCATACGTGATCTTGCACCATTGATCACCCATACATGATCTTGCACCATTGATCACCCATACATGATCTTGCACCATTGATCACCCGTACATGATCTTGCACCATTGATCACCCGTACATGATCTTGCACCATTGATCACCCGTACATGATCTTGCACCATTGATCACCCATACATGATCTTGCACCATTGATCACCCGTACATGATCTTGCACCATTGATCACCCGTACATGATCTTGCACCATTGATCACCCGTACATGATCTTGCACCATTGATCACCCGTACATGATCTTGCACCATTGATCACCCGTACCCGATCCTGTAATACAATATCGAGATAGTTGCCGCTGCCTTCCACTGGGTTCTTGGTAAATGCTCATTCAAAAAGTGCCAAATAATTTATCTAGGATTAGTGATATTCGAAAGGTTTTATATTTTGTAGTGAATATTTTCTTATTTCTGTCCCATAATATGAATTTTAATTTTTTTTTATTCCCATCTTATGTAAATTTAGTTCATAATTGCATAAGAGAAATGTGTGTTAGTGTTGGATGTATTTCTTGAGGGACTACAATATTTTTATTTAGTCTTTAATTTAGGAAATACTGTAGCTGTTGGATGATTTTATACTTGTATGAAAGTTTACATACAGTACAATACTGTACTACTATACAGTACTCGTTGCTTTTAAGATACATTATAAATTGTATATTTTTCCAAGGCACAGAAGAACACTGTTTGTCTGCCTTATTTAGGATAATAGATCCATGATTGTTTTATCTTGGGGCCCATTCAGACATCTTATTTTAATATTGTTCCTGACTGTGTTGTCTTCTATGTGTGTTGATGACACAAGACAGTAAGGATGTACATTAGTATTGGGACTAAATCCATATTGATCTTTGATGGATTTTGTAGACTACAGTATTGTACAGTATTTCATAATGTACTTAACATGATGAGTATTTTACAAGGTGTATCAGAAAATAATTGTTTAGTAACAGTTTTGTATATGTAATTACCTGGTAATAATTCGCCTTTTCCCAAGGTAATTACTGTTGCTCAAAATTAATTTATGAATTACTGTACCTTCCTTGAATTTTGTTTGCAGTATAACTTGGTGAGAATCATGGAATAATTATTTGTCCATTGGGTTCATGATGAGGCAATCTTTTATTCAAGTTTACTGTAGTATATTGTATTTAAACCCATATTTATTAGTAAATTACTAAATTCTGACGTATAAATTTGAGACAGTGCTCTTTTGTAAATACAATATTGTGATTTATATTTGACCTATGAAGATGATTTGTATATTTAAAAATAATATGAAGGCAAGGAAGAATCTGTTAGTGGCTTATATGGATCTAGAAAAGCACATGATAGAATTGATAGAAAATTAGTTTGGGAAGTATTGAAAATGTCTTGGATAAAGGAATATTGTTGAATAGTGTTTAGAGATTTAATTGTGCATGAAGCAAGAGTTATGTGGATGGGAGCTGGTGTGATTGGTAATGATACGGGAAGTCAATGGAAAGTGAGCAAGTCGACTGCTCTTTACAGGACCTTTTTTTTATACGCAATTCAATATTGAAGTTGCAAATGTTAGTGATTGAGTTTGTATGGATGTAATGAGAGAAAGATGTACACAAAATTAAAAGTAAACAAAGGAAACAAGAAGTAGTGAATGTATGCTTAGATGAAGGAAGTGATATTTTTCAGGTTTTCTGTGAGTACAGTAGCAGTAGATTTATCAGTGATTGAGGCAAATGAGTGACAAATTTAATCATAGAGTACTGTAGATAAATAAAGTAAGGTATGGTAATTAGTGCTTTGAATAGAGTAATGGAGATAGAGAACTTTGTCAAAGGAACCCAAGATGAGGATGTATAGGAGAATAATTGAGTTGACATTAAACTATGAGGGTAAAACAAAATCTCTAAGAGGCACTAGGAAGAATTAAGTTAGAAGTGATGGAAGTTATGTACATTCCCCTTCACTAATGCGTTTACAGGGGCTCATCAGGTTTTGTGCAGTGTGGCAGCGTTGTGTTTGGTTACATTCGACAGAAGGAAACTCACAATAGTAAACACACTATGAAATCAAAATAAAACAATATTAAAACAAATATCTCAATGAAATGATTTGTGAAATGTTTATATGACGAGTTCCTGTAGGCAACACTCATGAAGGGGACTGTACTTAGGACGAGTAGTATGCAATGAGTACAAAATGTGGAAAAGGGAGGAATGTTGGACATGTGAATACAGTACTGTATAGTGAATGTATAGGAAATGAAAGATAAAAAAAAAAGTATAGTTCAAAAGTGAATATGTATGATTGAAGAGCATAGTAATGGCTGGTTTGTTGGGGTACATGGAGTAACAGGTAAACCAGATGGAAGCCTTGAGTCTATGTTGTGGAAGGAGAACACTATATCTTGTTGTAGCAATAAATAAAAGAGTAGGTGGGGGGGGTCTATATTACTCTTGGTGTCAGCCACTCTGTGCTGTAGAATAAAAAGAATTGAAAGAATGAAAAGAAACAGTCACTCATTTGTTAAAATATTGTTATAATGTTTTGAAAAATTACAAATACTAGTTTTTGTATTTTCATATTGTTTACTTGGTGTTTTGTGAATACCTGTAGTATAAATTCAAATTTGGTATAGTGTACAAATTTTTTTTAAGGTTTGTTTCACAGACTATTTCAAGCCAACTTGTAGATGTCTTCAGTGATCTCAGTATAGTTTGTCATTATTCTTGTAATCATATCATATGAAATTGAAGAAAAATTTTTTTAGGATGAAGTTTCTACTGTTACAATGTCAATTTCTTTTATATGTACAGTACAGTATTAATTTATATATGGCTTATTTTACTGTAATCCTATGACACATAATGGTTCAAGTACAGTATATGAGTCTTTATATTTTAATTGGTAAAGTAATCAGTAAAGCCATTTGTAATATCAATAAAGTAACATACAGTAGTTGTGATTCGTTAGTTATTAATGAGTCTGTGATAAATGTCAAAGAGTTACATATATATTCTCTTAAAGGACAATACTTATAATGTAACTGTTTTGTATTTTTATTCTATAAATATCATTTAATAAAACAAATAATCATAACATGTCTCTAACTCTTATACAAGTATCCTCCGATTTAAATCATCCTTTTTACTATAATATGTATTATCATTATTTATGTTTTGACTTCCTCTTGTGATTTGCATTAGGCAAAATCCATGTTAATGATAGTTATTGTTTTGCTTAACTTGCTGATGGGTTGGGTATGTAAACACTGGGGAAGTGTATCTTGACCTTCACTTGTTAAATCCAAGATAGCCAATATCCACAGATACCGTACTGCTTTTCCATCCTCTGCGCAGCTTCACCTGCCTACGTGTCACCTCACGGCCACCGTGCGAACTACAATCCTGCACTTTGTTTCAACGTGATCGTCTCTGCCCCCACTCGTGTAACAAATGTTATCATCATTAATCATTATGTAACCCTTATTGCTGTGATACTTTGCCACTATTGGTAAGAGGAAAATATTAACTTTCAGAATTTGTTTTGTTTTGGTTTCTATGAAGCGATCAGTGGCTAGCAAGCATCCTGTCAGAGTCAGATTGATGTCACCGCTCCATCAACAAGAGTTCCCTTAGTCTCGGGGGGGACATGTGATGATGACCAAGCTTGTTATTATTAATGTGGTGAGTATTGTTTAATTTTTTGTATTTATTAATTAGTATTGGTTCATTTTTTTGTGGTACATGTCTGTGTCGGACAGGCCAGGGACGTATCCCATTGAAACCCCCCATTAAAAGGCTTGCAATTTACGTAAGGGTTTTCAGGAATGCAACCCTATCATAAATCAGGGGATACCTGTATTATTATTATTATTTTGTGTGTAGAATACTTAAGAAATATGTAAAGAAATGCACTGTTGATGCCACACTTTAATATTCACACCTTACAGAATTACATCTATGTATCAGGCAGAGGTGTGGTACAGGTACTGTCTAACATGTCTCGCAATCCTTGTTTAAATCATCACTTGAACAGTGGCTTAAAGTAAAAGTTGAGGTATTACATATACAGGTATTACCCTTTTTTTTTTTTTTAACAAGTCGGAAATTGCCTATCCTATCTCACCTTGCCTGCACCTTACCCTGGGTGGGTGATCATTTGTAATATTAAGGGATACTTCTAATTATTTCTCCCAAGGTGATGCTGTAGTCAGTTGTCACAGAATTTTTTTGATGTTGTAGTCATCCATATTCAGTACAAAAAATTATGTGATTCTGTAGTTAATTGTTTGCACTTGGATAAAAGGAGAGAATATCATATGAAGCCTCAGCCTGTGCACACAAGTAAGTTAAAACACAGTTAGTGATCTGGTCTATACAGTAATGTACTGTATTTATGCTACAATAAAAAAATAAATAAAAAAATACAAATGCATTATATTTGGACATTCATATACAGCTCCTCCCCGACTTACGACGGGGTTAGGGACCCAAATCCAGGTTGTAAGTCGGAAATGCTTAAATAATACATAGAAAATCTAAAATGGGTGTCTCTTTTTCTTCTCAGCACCACAAAACTCTCACTTTTAAGCTTGCCAGCCATTTTAAAGTGAATTGCAAATGAAAATTGTGTCTGTGTACTGACTTTGGGACTCGAAAATACATAATTTGATCACATTTTGGTATGACTGAGGCAGGTCGTAAGTGCGGGTGGTCGTAAGTCGGGGAGGAGCTGTACAGTACTATACTGTACAAATGTTAACCCCATTACAGTAGAGCATGAGTTAAAAAAATACAGTATGTATATAAATAATTTCAGATTACAACTTTATGAAGTTTTTCAACTACACATGAAGAAATAATAATATAAACTATACAGTCCCCCCCAAAAAAGTATCATTAGCCATGGGGTCAATGTGATTCGAGGCTTAACGAGAAATGTTACTCAACCTGTTTCTGAACGACTGGTAGTTTACATCCACGACTTTTGAGCGTGAATGAGTTTACATATATACTTTTTGGAACGATACATACATTAATATAGCTTAATGGATTTCTTGTTATATACTGTATTGAGGTTATCTAGTTTGTCATACAAGGACGACTCCCTCTCCCAATCCTACCCCCATCTTTAGCTGTTGCTGATATGGTGAGCAGGCATACCAACTTATGATGATGCACTGGGAATCATATCTAACAATATTTTTTTTTTTTGGGGGGGGTGGAGGGGGGTGGACTGCACATGTCATAAACTATACATAATATCATATAATGTACAGTACCTGTACTGTAAAGTGAAATTAAGAAAATAATTTTTTAAAGCTGACTTTAACAATCACAATTACCAGGTATATATTTTTGCATAGAAAAGTATTTATGATTTATTCTAAACTTTGACAGTCCTTTCCTTCAGTCACTGTTGACGCTAGCCTATAGCTTACAATGTGAACCTATTTATACAAGACTTGCAGATATGGTAACTATTCTTACAGTAAGGCTTGCTTGCATTTCTTTGCTCAACCTTTTTCACTCACAGAAACTGTGGCTAGTACTTTTATTTCTCTTTGACTGGCAAAATCCTCCATTTTCAGCTTATCAGTACTTAGGTCTTTGCACTGAAGGGTATAATAGCAATCAGGATGGATCTTACTGACATGGCGTCTAAGTGTGGTGGTGTGTAGAAAGGATTTGAAGCATATGCTACACTCATACTTTGCAATATCTCTTATTTTATTACTTAAATCACCACTATTTAAATCATATTCGTCAAATAATTCACAGTTTTCACCACTTGACAGAAATATCAGTTGATCTTGGTGATGTGTTCTCATATGATGGTAAATAAAATTTTGTCGTGTGTTACAAAATATACAATACCTATCTTCCATGCTGCTACATTTCTGGCAATTTTTGAAGGAGGTAATCAGCTTCTTCTTTTCACTTTCTATATATTCCTCATCTATTGGATGTTCCATTTTTGTCATATGGTCCAGCAAAACACTTATTTTCTTATATGAATTTCCACAAGTACTACACACAGCCCACTTACAGCTACAGTTCTCTTGGTCTTCATCAGTTGTCACTCGAGCTTTGGATGACATAAATAGAGAGCATCGTGGGCACTTCTTCTTGTCTTCCATCTTTTTCCGAATCATTCTGGGAATAGCATCAAAGTTCTCCCTTGTTTCGTGACCAAGTCGTCTCATGTGATGGTGAAGTCCTTGAGGAGTGCGATAATAAGTGTCACACTTCATACAGAGAAACTGTTTAGTACAAGTACATGCTAAGTCAGTTTTAAGTGCAGATCTGTTAGTGCCCCCTCCATGTAATGAATCCATGTGTCCTTGAGCTGCATCTTCATCTTCAAAGGACATGTGAGGACAGTGAGGACAGAAGATGTAACTCAAATAAGAATATCCACTACAAGCTGTACAATGTTCTTTAATAATTTTGTATTTCTTCCATAATAACTTCATTTTGTTCCAGACATTATGGTCATTTATCCTCGCATGTTTTCGAAGGTCTCCAAAATTTGCAGTGGTTTTGGGGCATTCTGGGCACTTTAACAAAGGGCAAATACATTTAGAAGCCTTAGCATACTTTGTTTTCTTCACTCCTCGCAATCCTTTGCCAGAACGAGATTCTTGTTGAATACTGTAACACACAACCTCTGTGTCATCATCCAAATACTGACCACCTTGGTGTGACTCTTCATTAATAAGTTTTGACTCATATTCTTTGGTACTTCTCAAAGATTCACCTGCAGGACACCACTGAAGTAATGGTGCACATGCCTCCTCTGAGCAACTTTCAATTACCATTAAAACTCTAATGAAAAGATAATAGTTAACAACACATAGTTTATCTAATATTGCACACCGTGGACAACTAACTGCACGATTTCCTTTTCTTTGAGCCGCGAAAAATGGAAAACTGGAGTAAAAATCTGGGTGGTCAATTAGAACATGATGTAATAAGTTAAGAAGCTTCTTAAATGTTGTCTTACAATGGTCACACTCATAATCATTACAACTGCAGTTCAAAATCTTTAACTGCTGGGACACTATTGCTATGAATTCTGAACTGGGGTTAGAGACTTCATGAGCACTGTCACTTAGTGAGTGGTCCTTTAAGAAATGATCCTTTAAATTAAAATATGATGAAAAAGTGTGTGAGCACAAAAGGCAGGTCACTTCAGAGCAGCAAGCGGGGCACCCAGTTGCCTCATTTAAGCCAGTAACACTAACTTGTGAAGAAGATAAAGATCTTTTCATTCCACATGTACAATCTGCAGATATGAACTTCAAACACTGTTCAAAACAACTTTGCAAATCAATGGGACACCCAGAGGCACTGCCACCTGTAATGTGCACAGGAGGAGAACAGTCAACTTTCATATTACTTTCACCTCCACCTTCATTGACTTCAGAGATAGTAATTGTAACCAATGTATCATCTGATTCAAAATCATCTTTAATATACTTCATTTCTACCATTGGAGAATCTAAGTGCATAGTAGCTTCATCATCACAAGAATTTACTGTAACCCCGCTAGTATCCTCACTACAGTTTATATTAGTGCTTGAGGGTGATTCTATAATGCAAGGATACTTTTTTTGATTGTTTGACACACACGATTTCTTGATTTCATTACGGGTACTGTTTAAGAAATCTTTAGTTGTAGTTGCCTTCAAAAGATTGTTCTTTGTCTTTGTTTTTTTACTTTCAATCGCATCAACTGTATTACACACAATACTATTGTGACAAGTGCTGACTAACTTCTTCCCCTTTATGATTTTCCGACCTGTGTGTTTACTACATAATAACTGCCCATACTTCTTTTTCTTTCTAATGGCTTCAAAATAATGTTCTTTCATATGATCAACATCTCTCATGTGTTGATATAGATCACGACATTTAAAATATGAAACAGGGCATGTTGGACATTTTAAAAGTGGGCACTTGCATTTAACTTCCCCAGAGACTGGTGGTGGCTGCACATTACTTGAAGACTTACTATCAAAATCCACATCTTCATCATTATCTGTATCATCAGTATCAATAGCCACCATCTGATTTACACACCGAGACATTTGTTCATCATTCAACAAAGTTTTGCTACAATACTGATCAGATGCCTTGACATCACAGGGTTTAGTATTATTATCAATGAACTGTGTTACATCATGAGCATCACCCTTAAATATACCTGTATTTAATGCATCTTCTTTGTTAAAACAAACACTATTATTACTGCCCTCTTTAATGTATGAAGTCTCTCTCACAATCTGAGGTGAACATGCAGGGCAGTCAATCCCTCTCATTCCTGTGAGCTCATCTTCATAATCTTGAGCAGAGTGGTGATTAGTCATTTTCCAGTGCTTCTTCAGGCTGGGATAACAACTAAAAGTTGCTAGGCACACTGAACATATGAATGTCTTCCGGCAAGAACAAACATCATTATTCACTTTAGTATGTGATTCTCTTGAACATTTTTTACAGCTGGCTTTTGATATTTTGGCTCTTTCTTGTAAGTCGCTGAGTACTGTTTCCCTGTTCTTTGGCTGATGTCCTACCACTTGCCAGTGTTTTTCAAGTCCAGAACTCTCATAGTATGACTGAGGACAAATGTGGCACTGAAATACCTTCAAACACACACAGACATTGGCAACACTTCCAGGGCCACTATGATCATGTTTACCATTGTTCAATATTTTATGAGTCACCTCCATGTGATCCTGAAGTATTTTCTCTGTTGGAAAGCATATGGAGGGAAACCATGGGACTGTATCATGATCATCATGAAGGCATTGTTTGCAGTTCATCTGCAGCTCTCTATTTTTCTGGGACACTAATGAAGTCTGCCTTCTACTGGCCCTATATTTACTTGCCAAGTGTTGTCTTAAGTAATACAATGATTTATACTCACTGGGGCATTTAGCGCACAATAAAGGAACACACAGGCACTGTTGGCTGGCCATCATGAACATCAGTGACTCAAATCCACAAACTATTACCAGTGGACTACAAGTTATTCACCACATACAGTATTTTTAAATGTACCATAACTCCTGAAGAATCCTTGTAACTTGCTATTAACTTTGGCCAGTTTCACTGAAGTAGTACAACAGGCTGGCTCCTCAGTGTCATTCATAATCCTGGAAGTACAGTCAAGTAATCAGTCATAACCTAATACTTTTTAACCAACTACATAATGAAAAATGTCAATCGAAGAAAAGTTATTTCTTACCTCGTTAATTCTGTATAGCAAATCGAGAGAAGGCCTTGTTTTTTCTCATATAGTATATAAAGTCCATCCGAGGAGGATGCCATCTTATTTGTTGCGCTCCAGTCAGCTGTTTAAGTGAACAGAAAGAGTTTGAATGTTTCATATACATTTAATAACATTGTTTTGTTTCATACTCACTAAGATATGGCAACAGCAGCAGCAAATTTAAACAATATTTGTAAAGACAATAATGATGAATTATTCTTTCTTACATTAATAATAATAATGTCCCCCAAAAGGTTAATTAATAGTGGAATCTGAATTGTTTTAAATTATTAGCTTGATGAAACACAAACAGCAGCAGCAGCACTGTCCTTTCCTCATACATGAACACCTCCAATGAATGCTATTATTGCATTGTACTGTACAGTATGTATTATGATTCATCCAAGATAAGATGCACCAACAAAACCTACCTAACTATCCTAGAATGGAAGTACAGTAAGTTATATTAATATTTGTTAACAATTGAGGGCTGGTAAAGGGGAAGTAACATTGGTATTTACAGTTAAAATAAAGGAAAAAAAAAAGAAACAGAATAAAAAGTACAATTCCTCCACCTGATTTGGTTTATTCTTGAGGAAGAAAATAAGTTTTCTATAAATAATTGGCATTGGGTAGCTAGTTAACCCAGACCCTTGTCATTAACCTTTACTATCAAGACACTTCTCTTTTGAACAAAAATCTTTACTGTATAGGTGATTTATTGAAACAAGCGATAAAACATTCTTACTGTAGAAACGGACATAAAATGATTTTATAATGTAGCTAGAGTAAAAAATAAATGGCTGAACCTAATATCCCACATTATCGTTGAACTCAAAACTGATTCATACAATATGCTCATTGCTCATGTTTTTCTGGATTTCTTGTGCTTGATCTGTTGTTGAGAAACAAATGTCTACCAACAAACAAATGCTTTCAGACACTGTTATACTGTATGATTTAAGCTTAACCTAAATAAAATACTACAGCAAATAGATCATCGTTAGGTAATGCTAAGTAGGTTAGGTTGGCCCTTCAATCTCGTGTAAATCCTGTTATAAAACAGTTGTTGGTAGCATTCGTGTGTATGAAGCAATCGCTGGAAGCAGTTATATAAACAATCAAAGAGGCATTGGTAGGACTTTACGGGTAGTTGTAGATCAGTGTTTAGGATGATAAAAGATGGCAAAATAAAATATTAAAACCGTGCAATTTTCTCAAGGTAGAGAATGAGTTGTCTTCAACTGAGAATTGGTTGAATATAAGAGGTTTAGGTACACAAGAATCATAAAGTATTACCCTTCCTTTTTGATGATTTTCTCATAAATACAGTACAATACAGTACAGAGTATACAGTAATTATTTAGTAGAGACCATGTACAGAACTCTATATTGATTTGTATATAGCGAGACAGAGCAAAAAAATACTTTATTCTTCAGCGTTTTCGTTTGAAATATATATATATATATTTTTTTCAGTTTCACTTGAAAACATGCAATTTTTATCACACAAAATGGCCAGGTCTTTGAAGTACGTACAAATAAAGAGAAATCGTGGGGTAAAAACACGCCAAACAAAAAACATCTAAAAAATTTAACTAAATTACTCAAATATCAGATACATGTACAGTACAGTAGATTGTATACCTAACCTAACCTAACTTAACCTAACCAGAGAAACCAGAAGAACCTGACCTAACCCATTAAGACAAAAACAAAAACAAAGAAACCTAAAGAAACCAAACCCACAATTGAGAAGTAAAACAAAAACTCACTAAATATAAATTTCCGATGAAAACGAGTAAGAGCAGGCGCACAAGAATCATGTGACATCAACACTTTCCCCAAGTGAAATCGAAAAGTCCAATTAACTTGAAAAATATATATTTTAAACAGTAACGTTATAAGGTAAAGTTTCTCCCTATATAAAAATCAATATAGGGTTCTGTGGATGGTCACAACCAAATACTGTACAAGTATTAACTCAATATACTAATACACTGGCAAAGTATTGGAATTTTACCAATTCAGTAGATGTTTTTTAACCCTTTCACAGCCAGAGGTTACCCTAAGCTGAATAAAATCGCCTGGCAGAAGCCAGAATAAAATAGCAAGTGCATGACATGTGGTGAGAAGGTTAATCGAGGTAGGTTTTAAACAAAATCCCCAAAACCACGAGACAATAGTTGTTGGGGTATTATTTTAGTTTCGGTCATCCAGGGAATTGGTTAGGTTGGTTATGCTACACAGGATAATAACAGTAAAAAAAAAACGAGCAGACCGCTATACGAACAGGTACTAAACTGTTCAGTGGTGAAATATATAAAAACTTTAATTAATCAAAGATAGGCCTAGTGGCTCAACTCGTACCTTAAGCAATTAGGACTGGCCAAGGTGTCCCATTATAAAGTATAGATATGTCTTTAATCTTTTCACTTGTCCACCATATATAACCTAACCTAACCTAACAGTAATTAACTCTACCTTACCTGTATAAAAAGACTTGAGGTGGAATTTTTTTACCATATACACAGAGGTTTGTTTACACTCTCCAGGCTGACGGCTCTCTCACGTATACCTATAAAATATGTAATGATTATACACATGCTGTTATATACATATTAAAAATAATAATTTACCTAATATATTATTCTCATTACATAAAATAATACGTTATAACATCAACAAGTTGGTCAATGTTGGTTATTTTCAAGATCACGACTGTTTAAATGAATCTAAATTAAATAATTCGATAATATAAATATAACTTAACTTTATAAGCCTATTGTAGGTTCGGTTGGTTATCATTGAACAATTTATATTAGGAGCAATAATAATGTTTTAAGTGGTTTAATTCGTGGTATACTTGTAACATTATTCTGCAAGACCATTTTCTATGTCACATGTAAGGGCCCGTAAGAGGGAATATCCAATAGGGAAGTATATCTCTCCATTAAACTATTATTTTTAATGAGTTACCATAGGGAGACCGTGACGCCGCTCGATGGCAGAGTGACCCAAGGATAATTATATATTATAGTAAGGATAGGTCACAAAGCACTTGTTTTGCCCACAGTTTTGTGATGTCACTGTTGTAAACGTGTGTGAGTCGCGTCATCTGGTGAGCTCAATGTGTGCCCATGTCTGCTCCAGGGACCAGTGCATATACAGTACAATTATGGTTATTTGTGCAATATACGGGTGCACCAACAATGCTCAAATCCCAAGCAGAGAGCAGATCAAGTATTGCAGATTTCCCATAGATAACTTGTGATAAATGGATAAATGCTTGCAAAGAAAGTGATTACAGACTTGAGTACAGAGTAAAGAAAATGCAGTTAAAAGTCTCACCAAGAAAAAGTACATCACTGTATCCATGAGCTGTACCGACCCAACAACTTCCAACAGCAAAATCAGTTGCAAAGGTGGGTAATTATTTGGATCTTGACTGTTGCTAATTTGGCGGACAATTTTGGTCTCATTTTGCTCAATATTTGATGCTTAACATGTCAACACTGCTCGCTTTTTACACGCAATGTTTAACTTTCTTTTCTACTCTACAGTCTAGAGACATTTGTTTTTTAACCACTGTGACACTGTCCTGGTACCCACATGTGAAGGCGATAGTTTGTGAAATTATATTATATATACACAATTGTGAAAGTTAATATGACCTTGGAAAGAGCAAAAATTTTTATAAATTTTTAGTACAAAGGTTGTCTGGACCTGCCTACTCATAAGGGCCGGATCATATTTTGCTTTTTCAGGTTGTGAATGGATAGAAGATATTCGTAGGAACACTGTTGTTGTATGAACCCTACTCTTGAGTGGAATAAAAGAAGGCGTGTTGAGGAGTGGTGGGTATGTAATGATAGGAATTTGTCATTCTATAATGATTAAGTGTATGCAGTGATAGTGTCTCAACCGTTAGTACTAGTGAAAGTTGGCGGTGAGGGGAGTAAACTGCGATAATGTGGGCGACGCCTCCCACGCCGGCAGCACCTCGCACCTGATGAAAGAAAAAAGTACAAGTGGCAAGCTGTGAATAATAAAGTGAACACATATTGTAAAGGACAAGCCACAAAGATCCCGTCAACCAAAATACCCCAACAGGTACTGTGGTGTTGTCCTAGAATGTGTTCACTTTTATTAGATAGTTTGTTTGTTGTTAGGCATCGCAGTTTAGCACTTTCAACGCCTGTACATCCGGACAGTCATCCGTCACCCATCATCCGCCCCTGACACTAACAGTTTCACACTTGTTTTATGCATGACCAAATCTTTAGTGAAATTATTTATAATGCAAATATGTTGTTCATACCTGAGCTGCTACAAGTGATAAGACCCGAGATATTTGCGTGTGAATGGATCCATACACTAGGTTTCTCTTATATTTTTAGGTTAGAATAAACTAGTTTGGTGTTCATGCGAGAGCTACATACGCTTTAATATGTATAAATACACCCTAAGATTGAGGGAGGCCTGGGAAGGTCTCATTCTCTAAAACCTTAAGCTCAAAATCCTTTTCGCTCTGTGAGTTAATCCAACGTTCGAATTCGCATGACCTTGTACGCTATTTTGGTCCCCTTCTATTTGGAATTAAGAGAAAGCGCCATGTTAAGGAAAAATCTCAGCGAAGTTTTGACGATATTTTGGTCATGTGTGTTTTGTTCCATAGCTGAAGTAAACCAGCCAAGAGTCCCTGGTGGCTTTTAGGGGTTTCCTCGATTAAATCGACTCGCTGTTTACCATTTGTTGTATACCTGCCCTGTCTGTGTAAGTGAATAAGTAATAGTCTAATTTAGACTAGGATCTTCATCAAAAGGTTCACGGTTCCCTGAAATTCGTACTCAAACTTTTCTTGTATCAGTGGGGGATTTAGAAACATGCATAACGGACTAATTTAAAACTTGAAAAAAGTGGAGACGCAACAAGAATGGCTAAATAAATTTTCTAAACACTATAATTGGGTTTCTAATTCAAGCTCGAGTGTCTGATATCTTAAGAATTTTGTAACAGCGTAAAGAACTTTACGTAATTTTTAAGTTTTGTGACTCAAAAGTACGTGCTTAAAGGCCTTAGTATCTGAAACATGTAAACAGCACCAGCGATACCTGTGGTGGGAGGACACCAGCACTACAGGTCCCCTCCATAATGGTGTGCTAAATTATTCATGAAGGAGCGACCGCCAGGGTGTCCTCGGCCTGGGCCTGGGAGGAGTCACCACCCTCACAGGAAAAAAAATGAAGTCGGAGGTAAATCTGATATCCACTGCAAATCTGGAACGCTGTTTCTTTCCTCTTCCATTATGTTTCGTCACTTTAAGATTCATAAAATGGGTCGTAGAATTTGCACTTGTGTACATTTATCTATATAAATTGATCCACTACGGTAGATATACTGTATATTGTCTCAATACTGACGTAGTAGCACATATTTTAAAACCGAAATGTACCGATATTTTACCCTCTATGATCATATTGATAATAAAATAATTTTCAGCTTTTAATGTTCACTTTATGCGTATTAAAGTGGCGGAAGTTTACAAAAAGGAAAATGGAACATGAATATAACAAAAAAAGACTAAGAAACGGGTCTATAGGTACTACAGAAAAGGTACCGCAGAGCAGGATATTTGCTACACTTATCAACAATATTTCTAGCTTAACAATTACACTTTTTTGCTACACTCCGCAGCTCAACAAACACAGCTTCCATTGTTCCCGAGTGGGACTTGGCTTGTTGCTTGTAGGAAGGAGATGAGGTGGTATATGTCAAGGACTGTCGTGTGCTTGTAGGGGGGGGGGGGGGGCGCGCAAGTTACACAACAACGTAAACATGCGAATTGATATTCTGACACTTTTTGCTTTAGTGATTGCTGTAAGTATACACGAGGCTATTATAAACATTTGTCTCCGGCAGTATTACCAACCTAAAAACAAAACAAAGAAAATTGAGTCTTGTGAAATCCGCCCCAAAATCCAATCTCCTTAAAATAAACAAACGGATCCAAAATGCCTTGCCATGACTTAAGAGTGTACCTACAGTACTGCACCAGCAACAATAATAATGGAAATAATCTCTCACAAGTACCACTGGGTGAGGTTGGCGCGTCATCATTGTGTCGAACAGGATTATAGTGTAATGGCATCTTGTTACTCTCCCTTCATCATGTCGTAGTTAAGAGGCTTGTATGGCTCCCACTTGTAGTTAGAAATTCATTGACGAGGTTAAGAATTAAAGGCATGAATTATGATAGTCTAACGTTAATTATCAGGCTTAAATAGTTACGTTAAGATTATGAATTACGGTAAACAAAATCGGAATCAATTATAATTACGGGACCGCCTGAAGAGTCGACACCACTTATTTCACCTGAAGATTAACCAACCTAACCTAACCTAACCAAACCACCCTAGCGCAGACCTAACCTAACCTAATCAAACCACTTTAACGTTAACTTAACCTAACTTAGTCCCCCAGGTAGCGTTAAGGTCGCTAATCTTCAGGTGATGTAAACTGAAAATTCTTCAATCTCATCAAATAAGATACTACATATTTATTAATAGGTGTTTTTAGAGTGACTAAGTTTAAGAAAAATATTTATCTGTAAACAAAAAAATATTCAAAGCTAAGATTTCAGAATATTAGATTATCAAAGGTTCATAAAACATATATTTCTCGTAACGTAACATGTTTGAGTGCACAAATTTAACATCCGAAAATGAAGGATTTATTCTGATATTCCTTGGTTCCTACATTTACAACTGGAAATGTGGGACATACACTGAGATACACCCCATCACCTCTAGTTACTCAAGTAATATACCTGTACCTGCGTGCGAGTGTGCTAATGAACGTATACATACGTGTGTGTGTAATTGACAGTAAATTCAGTGAAATGTAAAGTGTCGTTTTTTTTCAGTCATCTCAGTCGATCTTGGCTGGTACACGCGTGGATGTGAGATGTACTTTTCTTTATTATATTTAATGAATCGATTGAGGTATTAATGTTCTGTCATCTAACAAATTAATCTGTCTTCAGATACACTCATTAGTATCAACAAAACAATATTTGCGTATCTCAGGTGGCCGCCGCAACGCGACTGGCGGACGTACGAAATTTTCAGCGTTATTGAGGAAACTTGTCACAATTTGGTATCTATATTGAAAGTTGAAATGGAAGCTAAGGATGATAATTATTCAAGAATCACAAGTTCACTCATATTGAAAGATTTTCTGTCTTTAGTAACCAAAGGGTAAGAAAACTTCACATCGTCTGTCAAGTTCACGAGGTAGCTCATGGCAGTCAGTTTACCTTGCGTTGTGGTGGCTGGTGGTGCAGTGTTGGCGAGGGGAGTGTAAGAGTGACTTAAATTATATTTTATTATTCCCCTCTGAAAAATTAGCGAAAAAAATTTCGTGTAAAATTTTCTTTGCTAATTTGAATATTAATACGTAGCATATCCTCGAGCAGTTGAAAGTGACCTTGATAAACACAAAGTGAATTTTGACATATCGTAAAGGCAATCCATGACAACTGTAACAAGCAGTTAACTAGTGCAGCAGGTAAATATATTATGTTTGAGTTTAATGAAAGAATTACGTGAGGTGAGGTGACGTGACCCGGCCGTGGAAATGTATTCATTTATTGTAGACTGACCCAACAATTCCCCCGTCCCAACCTAACTATAGATAAATTTAGGGCCTCGTTGTAATAATTAAATTTCTGTGGATTAAACGGATATATCCACGCCAAGGAGGGGAGGAAGGAGAGGGTTCTGGTTGGAGTACTTGAAGCTCACACGTTAAACACTGTTGAGTGTGTTTAAGATGTACACTGAGGCATGAAGCTATTTGTACGGGAGTGACGGGAAGGGTTCAAAAGCTCAGGCGATGGCGACGGAAAAGAACTTTTATGGTAGCCATTATGAACCTCACCGCGATACAGTCTGCAATAGTTTACTTAATGGTGTGAGACTCCAACCTAACCTAACCAATACGGATATAAAAAAAAAGGTAAAATAGACGAGGTGGAGTGGAAGGGGAGGCTCATTCATCATATTGTAATTATTGTTATTTATATAGATAAGAAATGAAGTTTTATAGTTATTTTCCTGTAGGTGGAGCCGTCGTCTTAGTACGCTTACAAAGGGCCTCTTGCTCTCACCCTCGGTACACCCAGTTGACCCAGCTGTGAATGGGTACCTTACAAGTTGTATGAGGGGAGTGAAGGTGGGTCTGTGTAGTGCCAGTCACAGTGCCTCTTTGTGTATTCAATGTGCTGTAGTCACTCTTCTGTACCCTAACGAGCCCTCGTCTAGCCTTTGGGACCTACTCTCACTTTCATAGCCACGAAAGCCAAGTTTTGACAGGGTGGTAATCTCGTGTTTTGGGGGGAACTTAATCAAATTCCGTTTTTTCCTATAGTAGTGTAAGAGCTGTTTTGTTTATAAGCCGGGGTGAAATTTTGCCGAGTGGATTTGCTAAGGTTTTGTTAAGTGAGGTTATGTAGACTTGGGTTAGGTTTAATGTAGGTTAGTGTTGATCAGATAGGGTTAGTTTTGTCCGCGCGCGCGTGTGTGTGTGTGTGATCAATCCTGTAGACCTACCCGAGAAAATTTCACCAGGAGCTGTGTTGGTCGTGGGATACAACCAATTAAACCCCGAGAGCACTACACGCGGGAGAGCCTTTTCTACACCAGGATTATCTCACCAGTAGTCGACGAGGTTAGGTCTCACGTTGATCCCCACCAAACTACCGACAACTTACGATTCAGTGTTGTCTGTCGTAGCTGTGGTGTAATCCTTGCCTCGCTATTTACCTCTGTCTACCCAGCAGTAATTGGGAACCTGGATGTTAAGCGATTTGCGGATCGTATCCCGGGGTATTGGTTAGTCAGTGCAGTTAGCGAATTGTCCGGTCTTCTCTGACTATTCCTTGAGACTGGGCCATGCAGCTCGTTAACTCAGGGTGTGGTTGTTGTGGTGACGACAGCTTCTACACCTTAAACAAATTCACGCCTAGGTGGACCTTGTGCCGGCCATCCTCGTTACACCATTTCAGTATTCAGAAAAGGTTCACATACGTCGTCATCACCAGTTGGGAGCCACGAATTACCCAAAAGTATAGCAAATAAGGGTAAAATCTTAACGAATATCTGTTATACATACACAAAACATGTTTAATAATATTTTTAGTGTAATTTTGTAAAAATAAATTATAAGGTGAAATAATAAACAGCGAAAAACTCAGATCCATAGTGATGCACTTCGCTAACCTAACCTAACGAAAAGTAAATCCTACGGCTATGTTAAATACCCCAAAGTAACAGAAACATCGGTAATTATATCTCCATTTTGGATAGGTAACTCTTTGGAATTTAGCGTTTTTCGCTGTTTATTATTTCATTATTTTGACTACATTTCAATGAAAACATTATTAATCAGGTTTTATTGATGTAAAACATTTATTCGTTAAGATTTTACCCTGATTTAATATACTTTTGGGTACATTTGGGTACTTTTGGGTAATTCGTTGGACCGTCACCAGTTACTGTATATATCAGTTCCCCCTAAAACGACCTTGTAAAAAACATCAATTATAAAAAAAATCACTATATTTGGTTTTAGAGTCGCAGAACCAACGTTAATTATTGTGATGGAGTTAAGCCACGCAGTCAAGTTTACATTCAGGTGTGACCAGTATCGGCGATGTAATTTAGAGAATACCAACACCTATTATGTGTAGTGTTGTGATGCTGTAGACACATCATCTACGTGGAGGAGAGGTGGTGAGGCGTATTTAGACCGTGGGCAGGATGCAAATGCACTACAGGAGGATTTAAATAAACTGCAGGAGTGGTCAGAAAAGTGGCAAATGAAATTCAACACCAGCAAGTGGAGCGTACTTAATATTGGAAGAACAAATACTGTCAATGTATACAGCCTTTACAACAACAACCTAGAGAAGTCGACTTGTGAAAGAGACCGAGGGGTACTTGTAAGCCCGGACCTACGGCCTAGAAAACAGTGCGTTAATGTTCGAAATAAGGCAAACAGAGTATTGGGTTTTATATCTAGAAGTGTAAGTAATAAGAGTGCAGAGGTCTTATTGCAACTATATCTTGCGCTAGTCAGGCCGCACCTCGATTATGCGGTTCAGTTCTGGTGCCATTATTATAGAATGGATATCAATTCACTGGATTTGGTACAGCGAAGAATGACGAAAATGATTCCGGGATTTAGAAGCCTTCCATATCAGGATAGGTTAAAGAAACCTAACTTGCATTCCCTAGAAAGACGAAGAGTGCGGGGAGATATGATAGAAGTATTCAAGTGGGTGAAAGGAATCAATAAAGGGGATATAGATAAAGTTCTTATAATATCCGAGCAGGATAGGACTCGGAACAACGGATTCAAGTTGGATAAGTTTAGGTTTAGGAGGGAGATAGGAAGGAACTGGTTCACAAATAGGGTGGTGGACGAGTGGAACAAGCTTAGCAACTTTGTAGTAAGTGCTGGAACTCTGGAAAGTTTCAAAAGGAGGCTGGATAGATTCATGAACGGTAGAGAGTGGTAGTAACTCTCGACAGGAGCTGCCATGCACAGGCCAACCGGCCTATTGCAGACTCCTTATTTTCTTATGTACTAATGACAGCCAGGTGCTACTCTTAACGCAGGATCTACCATCATGTGTAAGGGTGAATATTGAAGTAGTTTATTTTAATCATTGGTGTTTTTTTTTTAATTTTCATATTTTGTTATTTGAAGGATGAGGTATAGGTTAGTCTTTGGCTTGTGATAGAGGTTTGGTAAGAGGTGAGCGGGAGTAGATCATTGTCAAGGAGACTCCAGTGCCCCTTGGAACCCTGACGGAGTGGTGGTCACTTTTTTTAATGCGCCCTTCGTCGTAGAGATGCCCTTATGCTGAAGGGGTTAAATAGCACTCCGGGAGGCTTGATGTATCGAGCTCCGAGTCTGTCAAGGTACATATGTTTTCTGTTCACGTCAGAGACCGATAGTGATTTTTATTGTGTAAATAACGGGATTATTGTTCTTTGTTTTGTTACTTGGTTATAAACGTGTACCCAAAAGCTTCTTGTACACGTTTATGGATAAACCAGTTATTCGAGCTGGTCACTGTACAATTATCTCAATAGTGACATAATACTACTTTCACTGCTTGTTGAAGTTGTTACATTTTATTGCAAATTTTAATATTCCAAAATAGAGTTTATGAAATTGATCAAGCTACTACGTTTGAGAACAGTCGTAAGTTAGGATGTCGTGGTGACTAGTTGGTTAGTGTGGTGAGGGTTGGTATTACGGCGCGTGTCTTGATTACCGGGCAGGTGTGGGTAACTAGGGACGGGACAGGTGTTACTGGCCTGCTCCTCCCCCACCCCTGTACACCCACCTGAGTGATGACATAAGGATCGTCTCTCGTCAGTAGATATTAGTGTTTATTTAGTAATGAAATATTTATAACATGCAGTATATTATGGTTGTATCTTGTGAAATATAAAGATACTGTGACGATCTCGGATACTTGATACACAACTCTTGGTCACCTCTACAAACATTCCTCCTGGGCTCTCATCACTCTGGCGGAGGGTTACGTCTTTGTTGCTGCTGTTGAGAGGTTGTACCCATCTTATGCATTTTGATTTGGTTAGGTTTACGTTGGGTTTGGTTAGGTTAACGTTAGGTTTGGTTAGGTTTACGTTAGGTTTGGTTAGGTTACGCTAAGTTAGCTGTAGCGAATAATTAAGTCTGTATAACGAACACGAGCTGACAAGAATGGAGAGGAAGTGCTAATAGGTATTTGAGAAAAGATAAGGGCCGATGCTAGAAAAATAAGACTAAAGGGAATTGATAAAGAGAGTGTAGGAGAAGGTGACGGACCAGCTGCAGGATGTTGGACAAAGGGAAGGAAGGAAGGACGACTGTATCTTGGTCACTCACATGCAGCTCATGCCACTCACAGCTCATGCCACTCACAGTTCACGTCACTCACAGCTCACGCCACTCACCACCAGCTGATAATAATGATGCTTTTCACTTACTTTTCTTTGCTGAGAGATAGAGAGAGAGGAGGACGGGGTGAACAGTCTATTTTTCACTCTTTCTAAACGACTATTTTCATGGTGAAGTTTATAATAAGTCGGTAATAGTTGACAGGTTTTTTAATAGTGTGTAATTCATGAAGTAACTGTTAGGCGTTCACAAGTTGTAGAATATTATTTGGCTGGACTGGATGTAAAGCTTTGTAGTGGGATGTATTTGTGTTCACTATATGTTCACTATACTCTGTTGGCAAATGGTTGGAGTGACAACATGAGGACCATAAATGAATTGGAGTATCTGGCAAATTATAATACAGGTAGCCATATTTTATCTTTTCAATGGTAGTACTGATCGCGTGTGCTTCCGTCCAACCCATTAGTGTGACAATCCTACGTCGTGAAGGAGGAGGCAGCGGTAGGAGGAGGCGCGTCAGGGGAAGGTTAAGGTGTGTAAGGAGTTGGTTGATGGCGTCGGTAACATGGTGTTTGTTCATCTCCATA